CGTCAAGCTGTTCTGGGATGTGATGGAGAAGATGTCCAACGAAGAAAGACAGAAAGTGCTTCGATTTGTGACGTCGACCCCGCGGGCTCCTTTATTAGGTTTCAGCCATCTCAATCCTCGTTTCAGCATTCGAGACTCGAGCGAGGATCAAGAACGACTCCCCAGTACGAGCACCTGCGTGAATCTTCTCAAGCTGCCCCGGTATACCAACGCCAATACCCTCCGGGAGAAGCTTTTGTATGCGGTCAATTCCGGAGCTGGATTTGATCTGAGCTGAGGAAAAAATGGAGAGTTTGCATGACATGGATCGGTCAATGCAATTATACCTGCAGCGCATTTAGTGAATAATTATGAGTAGCATAGCTAGGCGTCCTGGTGATCCATGTGTTCCTTTTCTTGTTGTTATTGTGGTTGTTGATAACGCGTTTCATTGTGTGTCTATTTTACCGAGGATGGGTGCTATTTCTAGCTCGAGTCCTAGTATCTACTACACTTGCTTTCGTCTCGGGGCTTTGTTCGTATGGCGAGGGGTAGCTTCGACCAACCAGATAGATAGCTTTCATCAATATTTGTTTGAAAATGGTTCGCTTTGTTAGAGATCCTTTGTTGATTAAAGGCCCGGCCTCTGCACGAACACTGTGGCTGCCGTTCCAAGCTCCCATACCAATAAAACCATGAATGGATGGTGAATGAAAGAATTGGATGGATAATCGATTGCTGGTGATATTCTTGATTGACTGCCTGATGGTGGCCTAGCTCCGTTTTAATGCCTGAGGCACATGTAACTTAAGATCCTTCAAATGTTAGTTTGGTCTTTTTCCTTTTTTTTTTTTTTGCCGCTCGAGTTTAAAGGCCGAAAAGGAATCCACCATTCCGTGAAGCGCCGTTCAAGCAGCGAGGACCATACCCTAATAAGGTTTAGCGCCACCTGCCGACCCAAAGAGAGCAAAAGAAAATTTTATCGTTTTGAGTTTTTTTCAGATAAAAAAAAAAGAAAAAAAAGGAAGGCAGGCAGAATTTCAGTCAGTCACAGTCAGAGAAAGGTCTTTCTCGGGGCGATTTTCATTCTTCGCCGTCTCTTCCTCTTCCTCCTCCATCCGCTCTTCTTCCTTCTTTCTTCCTTCCCCAAAAAATCCATAAAACCCTTCTTTGCTGTCTATCCCCAGCATCCTTTTCTCTTCTTCCTCCTTTTTCATATCTCCCTTTTTCGAAAACTCCTCGAAAAAAATCCCCTAAAAAAACCCGGAAAAAAGACCAAAAAAACCAAAGTAAATACTCCCTCCCCCGTCCATCAAAATTTCGTGTTCGTGTTGGGGCCCTACTGTGACTTTTTCCCACTGTCTCCGAAAAGTTGTGCGGTGTGTGTGTGTGTGGGCGCGCGTGTTTTGTGCGTGCATCTGGAAGTTTTCCCTCTACCGCATATTCTTCATCCCTCGTGATCGTCTTTTTCGCTTCACTTCCCCAGCCTTCTTTTCATACCAGCAGCCGTTGTCTTGACGGTGTTTCCCGGTGTCTAATTTGAGGTTGTACTTTTGCTGCGTGGATCGTCATTCCTCCTCCACTATCCCCCCTCCATCTCTTGTCGACCTTCCCTTGCCTGCCTTCTATCACGGTGATAGTGTGACCGCCTGGGAAGGAAATCCCCGTCTCCATCAGACAAGCCCACACTGCCTCTTTTCTTATCTCATCCCCTTGCTCATCTTCCCGCTGTCATCATTCGTCTCTTATTCTTTGTCTTGTGATTGTTCTCGTTCATTGTTGCTTGAGAGCTTTGTTCCAATCCTCCAATTCCATCGCCTGTTACAGCTTGTCCCTCTCCCCCCCTACCCACTTACTCTCTCGTATCCTCTTCGTCGATACCTGTGCTAACATCTTTACCTCTTGTCCAACAGTAACACCACAAAAATGTCTGCCGACGTCTCTACCACCCCCGCTGCCGAGAACGTCAACGGCGCCGCTGAGGCCAGCCCTGCTGCTGCTGCCCCCAGTGCCACCACCCCCGAGGTCACTGCCGTTGAGAACTCTACTCCGGCTCCCGCTGCCAACCAGCCTCACTCGGCTTCCCTCTATGTCGGTGAACTCGACCCCTCCGTGACCGAGGCCATGCTCTACGAGCTGTTCTCTTCCATCGGCCAGGTTGCTTCCATCCGTGTCTGCCGTGATGCTGTCACCAGACGCTCTCTTGGATACGCCTACGTCAACTACAACAACACCGCCGATGGTGAGCGTGCTCTGGAAGACCTCAACTACACTCTGATCAAGGGCAAGCCCTGCCGTATCATGTGGTCCCAGCGTGACCCCGCTCTCCGCAAGACTGGCCAGGGCAACGTCTTCATCAAGAACCTGGACAGCGCCATTGACAACAAGGCTCTCCACGACACCTTCGCCGCCTTCGGCAACATTCTCAGCTGCAAGGTCGCTCAGGATGAGTTCGGCAACTCCAAGGGATACGGTTTCGTCCACTACGAGACTGCTGAGGCTGCCAACAACGCCATCAAGCACGTCAACGGCATGCTGCTGAACGACAAGAAGGTCTTCGTCGGTCACCACATCTCCAAGAAGGACCGCCAGAGCAAGTTCGAGGAGATGAAGGCCAACTTCACCAACGTCTACATCAAGAACCTCGACTCTGAGATTGATGACGATGAGTTCCGCAAGATGTTCGAGAAGTTCGGTGAGATCACCTCCGCCACCCTCAGCCGTGACCAGGAGGGCAAGAGCCGTGGCTTCGGTTTTGTCAACTTCTCTACCCACGAGAGCGCGCAGGCCGCCGTCGAGGAGATGAACGACAAGGAGATCCGCAGCCAGAAGCTCTACGTCGGTCGTGCCCAGAAGAAGCACGAGCGTGAGGAGGAGCTGCGCAAGCAGTACGAGGCCGCCCGCCTGGAGAAGGCTTCCAAGTACCAGGGTGTCAACCTCTACGTGAAGAACCTGACCGACGACATTGATGATGAGAAGCTCCGTGAGCTCTTCGGACCTTACGGCACCATCACCTCTGCCAAGGTTATGCGTGACACCAACGTCGAGCGCGAATCGTCTCCCGAATCTGCTGGTAAGGAGAAGGAGGCTAACAAGGAGAACGACAAGGAGGCCACCCCCGAGGCTGAGAAGGCCGAGGAGAAGGCCGAGGAGAAGCCCGCCGAGTCCTCCGAGGAGAAGGACAAGGAGGCCAAGAAGTCTGACAAGAAGCCCTTCGGTAAGAGCAAGGGTTTCGGTTTCGTCTGCTTCAGCAGCCCCGATGAGGCTTCCAAGGCTGTCACCGAGATGAACCAGAGAATGGTCAACGGCAAGCCCCTCTACGTTGCCCTTGCCCAGCGCAAGGATGTCCGCCGCAGCCAGCTTGAGGCCAGCATCCAGGCTCGCAACACCATCAGACAGCAGCAGGCCGCCGCTGCCGCTGGTATGCCCCAGCCTTACATGCAGCCCGCTGTCTTCTACGGCCCCGGCCAGCAGGGTTTCATCCCTGGTGGTCAGCGCGGCATGGCCTTCCCCCCTCAGCCCGGTATGGTGATGGGTATCCCCGGTGGACGCCCCGGCCAGTACCCCGGTCCCTTCCCTGGCCAGCAGGGTGGTCGCGGCATGGGCCCCAACCAGCAGATCCCCCCCAACTTTGCTCAGGGTATCCCCATGGGCATGCAGGGCCCTGGTGCCATCCCTAACGGCATGGGTTACCCCCAGATGGCTCAGGTGCAGTTCGGACGCGGCGCTGGTGGCCGTGGTCAGGTCCCCGGAATGCCCATGGGTCAGGGTATGCGTGGCGGTCCCGGTTACGGCCAGGGCCGTGGTGGTGTTCCTGTTCAGCAGGGTCAGATCCGCCCTGGCCAGGGTGGTCGCGGACAGAACGCTGCTGCTCCCGCCGGTCCTCAGGAAGGTGCCGCTGGTGGTGTTAACGCTCAGACTCTCGGTGCCGCTCCCCCGGCCCAGCAGAAGCAGATGCTCGGTGAGGCTCTCTACCCTAAGATCCAGGCCCAGCAACCTGAGCTGGCTGGTAAGATCACTGGTATGCTTCTGGAGATGGACAACACCGAGTTGCTCAGCCTGTGAGTATTTCCCTTCTACTCTTTACACTGTTACTTCTAGTTGCTAATACATTATTGTAGGCTTGAGGACGAGGAAGCCCTTCGCGCCAAGGTCGACGAGGCCCTTAGCGTTTACGATGAGTACATGAAGAACAAGGGCACCGAGTCCGAGGCTCCTGCCGCTGAGGCTGCCAAGCCCGAGGCGGAGAAGGAGGCCTCGACTGAGGAGAACAAGGCGTAAATTCGCGTCTCATCTCCTGCACCGGTGGTTTGATTTCAGCAGTCTGCCATGTCGAATTTTTTTTGACTCCCACCTATTTTTGATGACCTCTTCTACCTCTTCTACTCGAATTAACGATTTCACCTCTTATTTTCCTCCTATCCGACACCTCCTTTCCATTTTACCCACCCCTCAACCTTTCCACTTTTTTTTTTTTTTTTTTATCCCTCTCTTCTCCTTCCCTCCTGGTCCTGATATCCCTCGGTTCCCAAAAGTTCTTTGTTAGTGGTGTCATCGGTCCATGATTAGCGAGCGACATCACCTTTACCGGATCTCCCGTCTCTTTTTCTTTCTCCTTCCTCTTGAATAGCGCTTTGGGGTTTGTTCCCTGGCAATGTTAGCACGTGATGCAAGAGGGCGATGGGCAAAGGAAGGCGGGCCAATTCTGGGAACGGAGATGAAAAGTTGTTCGGATGCCATGGTTCTCTTATTTCATGTCACGAGAGGGAGGAAGTTGTGACGTCTTCTCTTCCTATCCCCGCCATACTACCTACCTCGTATCCTACGATATGACACGAGTGTAATATAGACTTATGACTTCCTCACGGGATCTTTCTCACGTATTATACGTATATGTAGATATTATTTCCATTCGTAGACGTAACTTGTTGTATTTACACGGTCCTTGTATTTCGTAATATGCACTATCATACACCCTCCCCTTCCCATATATACCAATCCATGATGGAATAAGTACTAACTCAAAAAGAAGGATACTGCTGCCCAAACATATCCGCCAAATCATCAAAATTACTCCCCTGGAGCAGATCCACGATCCCAAAATCAAACTCTCCCACCGCATCTCCATTATTATTATCATTAGTATTAGTACTAACCCCCTCGGCAGAGAATAACCTCTCCTCATGAGACAGATGTACATGGCCGCTACTAGTATTAGCATGTTCATGCAGACCAGATGTTGTCGCGGCAGCAGCAGCAGCAGCAGCAGCAGCAGTAGAAGTCCTCCTCCCTGCTCGTCCTCGTGCATATTCATCATCCATATTCGTCGAAGATAGCGAGTTGATGGGAGTGAAGAAGGCGGTGTGGTGAGGATCCACGGCTACTTTCCGTCGTTTATTGGGTGATCCTTCACCTGCGGTGGTGTTGGTGTTGGTGCCTGATTCCTGGATAGTCCGAGATAGAAGGGAAAGTGCCCTGTGGCAGTGTTTGGCTGCTTCCCATTGCGTGGACATGGTGTGCAGTATTGTGAGACATTTGGTGATTTCCCTGTTTTGGGTGATGTTAGTAAGGTGGGTAGGTAGGTAGGTAGGTTGGGGCGGATGTGGGGTGCATGCAGGTTAGGGGGATTTCTGTGAGACAAGGTGTGCAGGACGAAGAGCTGGGGAGGGGGTTATGCAACGTACTGAGCTCCCTTGGATAAGACGTATTGGCGGAGTTGGCATGCAAATGCAAGGACGAGACCTGACATCCAGGCAGCAGAGAGGAAACCGGGCCAGAAGAATGATTGGCCGCTTTCTTGCTGCGTCGTTAGAGCGGAGATGATCTCCCTTGCGGCGTTGATGCAGGTTTGGAGCCCGGAGCAGAATTCGGGGGTGGATGGGCTGAGGGAGAGGGAGGGACGGTTGATGAGGAGGATGAGATGTTGGTAGAGGACGGTGAAGAAGGGTGCGAAGTTGAATGCGGTTGTCGTTGTTGCTGCGGGGGATGATGATGAGGGTTGGTCGGTGGATGATTGTTGGTGTTGTTGGCCTTGGAGTGTTTCGATGGAGAGATTGTTCCACCATTTGTGGACGTCTGTAATGAGGAATAGTACGGAGCTGCGTGGGACAGAGCGCACTGTAATGGATTTATGGAAGAGCTCGAGGGCTCGTCCTGTTAAGGTGCCGGACTCGACGTAGCTTGCAAAGGCGAGTTCGCGGCGGTTTTGCTGGGCTTCTTCGGCCGAGGAGCTGCTGTGGGCTGAGAAGGTACGTAATGAAGTGTTTTCGTGGTGTTGGTTGCTTGTGAGCTGGGGGCGGTGTCCCCTTTGCTCAGGATACGAAGTAGCTCGGGCGAAATGCGATCTATTGTACATTCCTGGTATATGGATCTCAGGAGTATTGGGCGAACAGACATCGATATCCGAGTCTTGTACGCCTAGAGGCAGTCCAAGTGCCTGGCTTAGGTATCGGTCAATGGCGTATGCACACCAGAATATCCTCTTGCGCAGCTGTCTGTCGTGGGTTGTGAGCTCCTTGTATCGGTATGGACAGCGATGGAGACCTGCGTGCAGCATGGAACGGAGCATGCAGCCACCTACGGTGGAGGCTGTCCGGAGGGACATTTTTGCAAGCAAATATAGTTGGCAAGCAAGAAGTGCCTGCAAGGACAACATATCGTGCTTACTAGTTAGCGTGCCGAGGAGAGAATGCATGTTACTGGGCGATTCTATCCGAGACCCCAGTGGGAGTTGAATCTCCGGATGAACAGCATTGGCTAGATTGAAAATACACTGAAAGATTGTTGTCCAGCATACATGCCGGTGATCCGCCATTGGAGCATTACCAGTTGGCTCCTGGCGGTCTTCTGAGTAGAGGCCCTCCATGGCCTGCAAGAAAGTAGGGCCATGCAGAAACGGGAATAGAGGATGCCAAACTTTGAAGTACATCATCATGAGTTCCCGAGCTGTATCAAGCGGGGGAGCATTCCCCAAGACTGCTGCCACTGCGGGATTATATGCCCATTGGCTCGGAAACTGATCATCCTGCAGCGCAGCCGGGGTCGTTTTCTGCGAGGCATCACTGCCTACCAGGGTATCCTCCGGCTGGGGGAAGTCTTGTGCAGGCGATGAACCACTCGGATCTAAACTTTCGGAGAAAGCCCGTCGGACGGTATTGATGAAGTAGACGCCACTGGAGCTACCGACAAACTGACTCTCATCCTTGGAATGCGCGGTCAGGGAACCAATCTCGGATGGGCCATTGGTAAGGTCCGGAGGCTCCATTCTGGTGGGATCATGATGCTGCCGTCGAGGATAAGGAGAGAGCATGGAAGAAAAGATGGCGTTAAAGTCAGATTCTCGGACTGAACTGCGAGTCGCAAATCCGGGTGCCTGCTTAGTCATGGACGACAACTTCAACCATTTCCATTTCATTTCTAACTACTACTGAGCGTCAAGTTTTGCAGATATAGTAATTTAACCTAGAGCAATTGGTTATTTTTAAAAACCTATTACTCACATGCAATTTCTAATCGTCAGAGGGTGAATTGACTTCAAAGATGTTGACGCCTATTGCTAGCCAGTCTATACTGCTTGCGAAATCCGCCAAAAGAAGTAGGGAATAGAGAAGGGCAAGCCAGGAGTTTAGTTAGCTCCAGGTAATCAATCGAAATAACACTGTTTATCAAGAATATATTGCCTACTCAACGGATGGGAACTAGGACTAATGATAATGCAATTGGATGTGGAACCTTTACTCGATGCTATGCTTGACAGGAGAGGAAGTATCTCTATTTCGCGTCTTTCCCAACACCAACACACAATGCAAGGAGACCTTGCCGCATCTTTTCTTAAGATGAAGCCAACTGCTGCTCAATTTCTTTGCAAACTGCATCCACAACTCCCTGCGTATTCGCCGAACCCCCGAGATCCGGTGTCAAAACCCCAGCAGCGCACACCTTTTCGACACAGTCCATCAACTTTTTGGAAGCATCTTTTTCACCCAGCCATGAGAGCATCTCCGCAGCGGACCAGAAGGTAGCCACCGGATTGGCGAGGCCCTTACCCATGATATCGAAAGCACTTCCATGAACCGGCTCGAACAGCGAGGGGTTCTTGCGGGTAGGGTCGAGGTTGCTGGATGGTGCCACACCGATGGAACCAGCCAAACCAGCTGCAAGGTCAGATAGAATGTCCATATGCAAATTGGTTCCCACGATAGTATCCAGCGAATCCGGCTTCGAAATCATGCGGAGGGTCATGGCGTCCACCAACATCTTATCCCAGGTGACATCCGGGAAGTCTTTCGCGACCGCCTCAGCGACCTCATCCCAGAGGACCATTCCATGGCGCATGGCATTACTCTTGGTGACGACGGTCAGGTGGCGACGTGGTCTGGAGCGTGCTGTTTCGAAGGCAAAGCGCATAATCCTCTCGACACCAACCCGTGTGAAGATGGCCACCTCTGTCGCAGCTTCCCATGGCTGACCCGTGTGGCTGCGCCCACCTTGACCACAGTACTCTCCCTCAGAATTCTCTCGCACAAGGACCCAATCGATGCCATTCACAGCTGTGGTCAGAGGTGACTTGGTTCCGGGAAAGGTGCGCACAGGACGGACGTTGGCATATAGTTGCAATGGACTGCGGAGTGCTAGTAGCAGGCCCCATAAGGAGACGTGGTCGGGCACGTCTAAATTCGTTAGTGGGTGAATTGCAATTGACTGTCTGATCGGGATCGAATATGCATACCTGGATGTCCTACAGAGCCAAACAAGCCTGCGTCGAATTTCCGCAGAGTGTCCAAGTAACCTTCAGACACGTACCGACCATGTTGCTTGTAGTATTCAGTGCCCCATGGGAGATGCGTAAATTCAATGTTGAATGTGTTCAACGTCTGAGCGAGCTTGTTGACCACTTCAATGGTTGCTCGCACCACTTCCTCGCCAATGCCGTCACCGGGAATGGATGCGATGCGATAAGTAGGTTTCTCGGTAGCCATTGTGTTTTTGCAAGACCGAAACACGGTACTAGTAAGAATTGAGGCGAGGAACGACTCTCTGGATGTCAGTATTATGATCCCCGCATCTTGAAGCTCTATATACTTCCCCGCTCCGGTTATTATTCAGGCTGAAGGTTTGTCCTGCGCATGTCGCCATAATTTCGCCGCATGCAACTTTATTTATGTCTCGTAATTTCACCTTCTAGTATCTACTATAACCAGTAGTAATTTATTTTCGTTGGCTCTTGAATGTTTGGAGCCAGTATAGTTTGGAGGCAAAGATGGATACTGCTGCGCTTATCTAATCCAGCCTATACCGAATTAGTGGCAACCGCACAGGCCGGCTTCCTACTGATCTCCATGTGCCGTTCTGCAATGGACTGGCTAAGTATGCCACAACCACCAACGTTTATAGTGTATAGCTGCTGAGTAGATGATCAGATGGGCAGAGCAGGGTGATTGTTGATCCCTGAAGAACAGGCACAGGCACTGCACAGAGAAGGAGCCACGCGTCGGCTAAGCGTTCAGCCGTGGAAGTCCCACCGACCCTGCGCTTATCCCGAAGTGGCAATCACGATCGACCCGAATTGCTTAGCCTTTCTATGGCGGCAGTCCGCTGCTCCATAACGCTTTTCCTCGAGCGCCCTCTTAATCCTGCCCTCTGGCTGATACTTTGTACTACGATGATCCCCGAGCGGAGCCGGTCAATCTACTGCATACTTTACTGCGTCGCCCTTCGTTCAAACTATTAACCGGTCAACAATGGCGCCTGCAAAGCCGAACAAAGTGTCGCGCATCACAGTGGCTTGTAATTCCTGCCGGTTCCGGAAACAGAAGGTGAGATTATTCTATTCTTCATGTTTCTTCGCATCTAACAGTCCATGTGTTTCTAGTGCAGCGGGAATAAGTAAGTAGGAAATTCTTCGCTTTTAGTTCCATCTTTTACTCATGCAATTCAATCCGAAAGGCCAATTTGCACTCAATGCGACCAGCACAATCGGTCGTGCGACTGGCCCGAACAGTTGAAACGGTAAGCTACGCTAGCTGCTGGACTTGAAAGTGCCCAAGCTTATACGTCTTAGTGGGCCGGCAAAAGGTTACATAGAAGCCTTGGAACACCGTCTTCATGAAACAGAGAGTCTTCTTTTGAATCTTCTCGCCCAGATCCCGGACTCTCAGCTCTCTGCCAGTGTTCAGGGACGCCAAGATTGTTCAAGCAGGCATCGGAAGAGCGGCAGTCCGCCTCAGACATACTCGTCATCTTCCCGCCTTGGAAAGCGAGGCACCGACTATTGGAAGAAGTTTCCTCTACACACAGTACAGGAAATCCGGGACTGGCAGAATGACTGTTTGAGCAATGAAGGAGATGGTTCGTCACGACACTCTTCGGGATCTGAAGCCGCTGAGCGTCCTTCTGTCTCACACCCTGAATACCAACCGGAGACTGGATCTCCAAAGGACCAGATGCCTGAATTCCAAGGATTTCGCGAAATGCCTACGCTACCACGGATACACCAGATTGATATACCCAATAGCCCGATGGATGCCGGTTTATCCTCGGCTAAAGTTCAGTATAGCAGCGCATTAGATGGTGAGGCCAGGGAGAATCGTCCACGAATGGATCCTGTTTTTGAAGCGATACAGTATCAACGCGCTCGAGCGGAAGCGGTCCATGAATTTCCTAGTTTGCAGAAACCGAGTCTGTGGAGGGGTGCACCTCCTGTGAGCTTTCAACAGCAATTTCTTTGGTAGTCCATCGGACAAGAGATATACGGGGCATACAAGAGATTGTTGACGATAAAACTGGTCCGTCGCTGGGACGTCACAACTTTATATCTTCCCGTTGTGTCTTTATGAAAGAATGTTTATTTTATTATGGAGGAGTCCTTGGGTCTACTGGTTAAAGGGGACCTGTGTGCTGTATATACAATGGCCTAGTCATATACTATTTGTCTTTAGTATGACCAAACGAGTACTATATCGGGAGTCTCTCAAACCATACCTCTCAAAATTTTAGTAATAAAAAATATGCATAACAAAATTACCTGTAAAACTGGTGGGATAAGATTCTCGTGATATGTTTCCTAATCGGGAAATGATGAATCTATCCGCCCGTCCCCACAACTAACCCATATCAGCCGCAGCATCCATCCATTCCATCGAAAGCTTTCCATATGATACCTGAGACCTGAGAAATACCTGCAGGAATATGCTCTACAGATAGCTCAGCACATGGTATCCTGCAAGTATCTCAAACACTGCGCGACTTACATCGCCATGACGCCATCAACCAATTAATACTAGGACGAAGTATATTCGCCGCCAACTAAACACAGTACCATTACCACACAGCATATCACCCAAGCAATCATGTACACAAACCTGCATCTTTTGTGGAACCATTCGAACTAGATTCAATCATACCATATACAATGATACTTTATAATGCATGACCTCATCATAACGCTCCTTCAAACCTACGCTACCCAGTACTCCTGATATACCTGGCTATTTAAACCAACCCTTTCCCCCATTCCAAATCCATCACATCCCAACTCCAACTCGCAATCACGACTCTACAGAACATCCTTTACAAACAAAGAATCACCTCCAATAAACCAATCCAATCCAGTCAATCCTCTGCTCATCCAAAATGCCCTCCAAACCAGTCGCCTCCCCACCACCTCAACCGAAGAAAGTTCACGGCGCAGTCCGCGACGACGACCTCCCCATCGACGACTACGAGAATGCCTGGCACGAACAGCAAGAAGAAGAGGAAGAGGAATACCGCGAGCAGAATGATATTGCCTTCAAGGCCCCGAATGTCGCTGCCGCAAGGAGGATGAATACCGGTACTGCGCCGAATCCTGTTGAGGGGACGCGGAAGGGCACGACGGGGTCGGTTAATAGGTCGAAGACGACGCATTGATATATCTCTCTCTCTTTCTCTTTCTCTTTCGTGAGTCATGGGTGATGTATTGTATTGTATTGGGGGTATGTGTATGTTTTATGTGTTAAAGGAATAATGAGTGTAGTGTATATCATGAATCTAGTTTTTGAATTTCCCTTTTTATCCAACCAAACCAGTCATCAACATCAACATCAATGTTATATACAACGATCACAATCTATAAACAACCATCATACTTATGCATCAAAAAAAAGTGGTATAATAATAAATTTACAGCATAGGCTTCAGATCAGCAGAAACCTTGAAAGGAGCGGCAGTCTTGCTGCGGATCTCCTCGACGGTCACGCCCTCGGCGTACTCGGCAAGAGTCAGACCCTCGGTGGGGCTGACTTCGAAGACGGCCAGATCGGTGATGATCTTCCACACGCAGCGGGGTCCGGTCAGGGGGAAGCTGCACTCGGGGAGGATCTTGGGGTTGCCCTTCTTGTCGGTGTGTTCCTGTTCAAACTATGTTAGTGGTGGACATTCAAATGTATGTGGGGTGGTATAAGTAGAGGGGTGACTCACCATGGTGACGACGACCTTGGTCTTCTCGGGGTTGGAAACGAGGTCCATGGCTCCGCCCATACCCTTGACCTTACCGGGAAGCATGAAGTTGGCGAGATCTGGATTAAAGGGTTAGTAAATATTGTTCATTATGAGTTTGTGGTGAAAGGTGCTGAGCTTACCTCCGTACTGGCTGACCTGGAGAGCACCAAGCATGGTCAGGTCAATGCGGCCAGAGCGGATCATACCGAAACTCTCGTGGGAACCGAAAACAGAAGCACCGCGACCCAGGGTGACGGTCTCCTTGCCGGGGTTGATCAAGTCGGGGTCCTCCTCACCGGGCTTGGGGTAGCCACCCAGACCCAGGATACCGTTCTCGGCCTGGAGGACGACCTCAACACCCTCCTCGACGTAGGCGGGAGCAATCAGGGGCATTCCGATACCAAGGTTGACGTACATGCCGTCCTTGAATTCCTTGGCGGCACGCTTGACGATACGTTCACGACGGATAGTGGCCTCACCGGAACCTACAACACCGACACATGTTAGCAAATTTGCGCTATGAAATCGGGGCTTGAACTGGGTACTGACCAGCCTGGAGCATCTCGTTGGGGTCCTTGGCGAAAGTGAGCTTCTCGATCTTCTTCTCGCCGGTGCTCTGGATGACCTTGTTGACGTAGATGCCCTGGAGGTGGATGCTCTCGGGGTCGATCTCGCCAACTTCGACGATGTGGTCGGCCTCGACGATGGTGTACTTGGCGTTCTTGGCCATGGCCTCGTTGAAGTTGTTCATGGACTTGCGGAACTGGCAGTTACCGAGCTTGTCGGCCTTGTGGACCTTAACCAGGGCGTAGTCACCGAAAATCGATTCTTCCAGGATGTATTTCTTGCCGTTGAATTCGCGTTCTTCCTTGGGGGCGTTCTTGATAGCGACGCTACCGTCCTTGTTGTAACGAACGGGGAGTTCACCAGATTGCACTATACAACCAAATGATTAGTCTAAGTCCGGGACATAGACAGCCATTGAAGTATGCGTACCAATAGTTCCGTAAGCAGCAGGGGTATAGAAGGCAGGGACACCAGCGGCACCAGCGGCACACTTTTCCGCAATGGTACCCTGGGGGGTCAATTCCAGAGAGAGGTCACCAGTGAGATACATTTTCTCGAAGACCTTGTTTTCACCGATGAAAGAGGCGATCATCTTGCTGATCTGCTTGCTTTCCAGCAGCTGGCCTATTATCGTCGTCTGTTAGACCAATTGCAATCTTTACTGCATTGCAGTGTAGCTCAACCTACCGAGACCAACGCCGGGCATTCCAGCATTGTTGGAGACGACAGTCAGATCCTTGATGTCCGGACGGTCACGGACGGCATCAATCAACGTAGTAGGGACACCAGCGAAACCGAAACCACCGACGAGAAGGGTCGAAGAACCCTTCATATCCTTGATCGCTTCCTGAGCGGACGGGCATAGTTTATCGATTGCGCGCTTGGCAGTTGAGACGGAGAAATTCCGCCTCCAGATGGGGCGGAACACCGCAGGAACAGGCCGCGACATGATTGTCGACCAGCCTTAAACAAAAGAATTGAGATCTGCGGAGGGAGTCAAAAACCTGGGGAAAAGAAAGAAAGAAAAGAAGAGAAAGAGAGAGGGAAGGACAACGCCAGCGATAAAAAAGAAGCTCAGCCTAGGCCAGACCGGCTCTTGCAGCATCGCGTAGCTCGCCGTTCGGCTAGTGAACATGATGGCGCAGCCGACAAAAGCGATTATCCGCCGCCGACTTTCAGCATCGCTTTGCCGCCTTCCGAAGCCGACCCCACTGCCTGACCGCTGGGGTCGTATTGCCTCGTACACTTGTGGGGGGAGAAACGTTCTGCCTGCGGGGTGTCCACAACCCCCTTGTTTGAATCACCCCAGTCTTTCCCCTCAAAAGCACTATTTGAGGCACGCGATCGGAGCGGGATGGCCTTGTCAAACATTCTCCGATTTTACCGGTATCCCCCAATGCACGGATTGTTTTATTAGTCACTTTCTGCTTGTCCGTCAGTCAATTCAGGGTCCTCCGGCAGTGATGATTGATTAGATAAGCGCGCCAATGGGGCGAACCCGTCACAACGACGGGTGTATTTTACGATTCCGATAGCGGGACGGGCGTCGGCAAGACAAATCGGGTGAACTCGCCGGGGTTCCTGGCAAGCCTTGACTCTGCCGACTTTCCCTCCGAATCGGGAGATCTTGTGGGGTCTCGATCTGGGGTAGCACATTCCCCTGCTTTACAACAACTTTTTGCTGGATTTTACATTATGATGGAGGGTGAAGATGGACTACTATGGCCACTTAAGATCAAAGACATAATTATTTCGCATTCTGGTCATACTTGATACATGCTTCTGCTAAGAGGTTCGGGAAACCGACAACCACGTGACCGTAAACACAAACCATTCTGGGTCCCCCAAGACAAAGACTCCATCAACCATCAGCATTCCGATCAGTCAATGTATCCTCGTCATATGATGAAACTGGCTGATTTATTAGATCTGGTGATCCCTATAATCAAGCGAAGTGTTCTGAGTGACAGGAATAATTGGCCAATTCGTTATGTTCAACTCGCAGAGAATGATTTTACCACGGCAATCGGCCAACTCTTCCACATTGTTGTAATTCTCAGGCCTATGGGCCATGATTTCGTTGTAGATCCATCGGATGTCACCGGCTGATCTAACCGTACAGTTCCACCACTCCATGGTCTCGGCCGTAGTACTATACACCCGACCGTTCTTTGTCTCAGCATATTTGCCCAGTCCGACAAAGAAATCACTGGCCGCAATGGCATTGGCAGCAGTTACCAGGTAGTATCTTTGTAGGACGGGTTCCTGCACCCCGTCGACGACGTGCTCTTGGAGATAAGCGTAGTACGGCATGATTTTGATTCGGTCGGGGTTGGGTGTTGTCCGGTGTATATCTAGAGATATTGTCTTCAATAATGTCGAGATGGGTGAGAAGATGTTAACAAACGAACAAAGGCCTTGATCGGATAGTTTATGATCTTGACAGGTAGACGACAGGATTATAAGTTTAATTTATATGCGTAGGCACATACTTGATTATGTTGCCTTTGTGGAATGTCCCCAATCCTGCGTAGGCAGGGATATACGGCATTTGCAGCGAATTGGAATCTTCCAAAAATATCAGTATAACGACACAAGATGTTTAAACTTTCATTCTTTTTGTTTTGCAAAATGTTATGTTTGTACTGCACTACATCTGGTTAATCTTTGTGTCGATTCGGAAGTAATGGTTGTAACTTACATGATAGTTACGGATATTTTCATATAGAAAATTCCTGTATGTACAAAGACTAGCAATCTGTTAGCTTTTTTGTCATGTGGGGATAGTCAATGATCTAACAATGACTCTGCTAACGTCACTGTAGAAGCCAAACGGCCTTGAAGCTCATCTAACAAACGGAATTGACCGTCTTACTGCCAGCAGTACATGTGCCAACTCCAAGTATATTCCAGCCTACTAATCGCTGGCATGCCCGCTATTGATGGCATTGCGTGGAAAGAGAGAGCGTTTTGCTTTGGCTGGGCTTGTTTAGAAGGAGACATATTATCGTCCGTGGGACTTGCCGCTTTTGAAATATCGCATTGCCGTTTTGCAGAGGCAGTTAGCTTCCACGACACCTCGCACGTGGGTTCAGCTTTGGAGGGAAGGGAGGGAGGCTGCGAGTTGGTTAAAATTTTGTAGGTAGTTTTGCAGTCTGCTCAGAAATTTGTTCAGCAGGGTGTATTTGGTGGGTTCAATCGGGACGTTTGCGATTATTCCAGGGCTTTCTGTACAATTGTTCTCTGGCTGTGTAGTAATATGTCAAGTGGGTAGTACTATTCGATACTTCTTTCCGCCCAGCTTTGCACAACTCCTCGAGCTGTGGGCTCGTACTCCTTCATCTTTACATCATCACCGACAAGGTAAGTATTGGCCTGGCTAAACACCAGAGGGGGATCCTTCTTGGAGACAACAATATCTCTCCATTTCAGAGCTTCATCGTCAACATGCGATAAACCCTCATAGAAACGGCGACAGTTGGAGACGTCAGCGGTGCAACGATAAATATGAAGTTTCAGGAGCATGCGACCCAGTGATGGCTTGCCATGAGAGATTACTCGCGATCGGTCAACTTTGACCGTCAAGCTATTCTTCTCCAGATTGCTCGTAACGTTATAGAGACCGCCACTGTCGCGGAGGAGGTGCCGAAACATGGCATAGTGTGCCTTAATTGGAGTTAGGGGAGCGTTAACATGGCAAGATTGTAAACTAGACTTACTTGACTATGTGCTTGTCCCCATTTCTGTCATCGTTTAGCACTACCTTCAATATCCGTCATGTCTTAACTTACTTGGGTGGTGGGATCATAATTCTCAAGGCCTCGAAGTCCATCGACGCCCAGCTGAAGATACATGTTGTAGGCGACTGTAAGTAACTGAATGAGCTTTAGTCTTCTGGCTTCTACAAGGGGACTCACTGTCATCAGGTTTGACCTCGCTTTGGCCTGTGTAGCCAAAAATGCTTAGTATTTCTAGATCGTCGACCAAATAAGCGCCGACGAGTTCTGCTCTGCATTCGTCCACTGTTGTTGCAAGGTCATTGAACACCCCCGTCCATGTTTGCCCAGCCCGATACCAGCTTTCTACGGGTTTTCCAGTAAAGGGATCCAGGGGCGGATTTCCAATGTCGAAGTTGAGACCACCATCAGAAGATTCAGTCAAGAATCTTCCCGTGCCATGTCCGAAAATTTCATGCAGCACGACCCAGATGTAGTAGGCATGGAACCGATGCTTCTTGAAAGTGTCTTGTTCTGATGCATCCACCATGTGTAAACCGCGAGATCGACTACTCTCAGACACCATGCGGTTACTGAAGATGATGTTCTTGTAACCTGTATCTTGTCTGATATCATTATACTGCTAGAATTTAGCGACAAGCAATTTTCTCTATTTCCGGGTTACTAACGTTTGGAAGATTGATGCCCGGGAAAATGATACTTGAGCAATATACAAGACCTAGATGTGTCAGCTTCCAGGTATGGTTAAGCACAGGAAAGCTCACTGTTGATGCTTGAGAAATCAGGTGGCTCAAATAATTCCTTTTCGTAAGGGCCCTTGCTGTCACCGGTATTTTCAACCCAGGGAAGTTTGTAGACCAATTGATTTGCTCTGGTTGCGAGCGTATTCAATATCTTGGTTTCGGCAGCATCCGGTATTCCGACTATCCCTTCAAACTCTGCACGAACACCTAATGGATCGCGATATGGCTCGACAAAGCCTATGACTGTTTCAACCGAAGGGGCCTTGTCATTCACCCATATCCTCAGTGATTCGCGGTATGCTTCGAGGCTTCCAGTCTGGAAGCTATCAATTATCTGCCGCAACATTTCCACTTGAGCAGCATTTGATGCGTATGGGATGGCTTGTTGCAAACAATCACAAACCCGTTTCAATTCTTCCTTGTGGTCTCCTTTCACCAGAAATACCTTCTTATCGGACGCTCCCGATCCACCAAATCCTTCCAATTCCACCTTGTCCTCTGCCACAGATGCTTGCATGATATCATAGCAACGAGTATTAGAATTCTGATATGCCTTTAGTCGAGTATTTTCAGGCAAGATTGATTGATCCTCCATGAGTTTTGATATCATGGCAATATCCTCTGAAGACTCAAGGCAGTCCTCACCTAGATAATATGATGATTGGGTAAATGGTCCAGGGTGGCCTAGACTGCTCGGAAGAAGACTGATCATTGGGTCTTTGATCTGCTTAAGGAGTTCACATGCCGACGAAGATACTGATGCTAGAGAGGTAAGAGCCTCCTCGGATACATCAGGCGTAAATTTCTGGTCACCGGAGCCCTAGACGAATGAGGAAATGTTCACGCAGGAGGCCAGTTTACCCTTACAAAGTAATTGCCAATATTGGATAAAAATGTAGCGGCATATTCCAGGAAATTCTCTAGTTCTTGAACGCTGACCCCAGTTTCGGTGGCAAGTTGTTCCCAATTCCCGTCACAGCTATGGTAAAGGGCCATTATAAAGTCGAAAATACCATTAGCCTCTGGAGATACTTGGCGGAAAATGATTCGCGTGCCATTCCAGGCAGCCCTTGTATGCAACATGTCAGAAGTTATTGCTGCGCGTTTGTGGGTGGGAGACATGTATTACTTCGTCATGTGATGAGCATAGAGCTTTTCCTGTGGGCTCAAACCGTCAAATGCGGCGGCCACCGACAATTGGTATATCTGAGGTTTGACCATTGTTGTATCTGGTACTCAATTGACTGCGTAGCTCGAGAGAATACCATCGTAGACCATGTTGTTTTCATCACGAAACATTATTGTATGACCCCGCACATGTGACTTCGCGCGAGAAACCATGCCATCCTGATAAGAAAAAGCATTTGATTGGCTGAAGAACACAATAGCAATTTGAAAATCCACAATAATCAAAATTCCTGTTATTGTCATGCTGTGCAAGCAAACATGTCAGTGCTCGCCAGATTTCTATTACCTACTGCCATGCATTACGGTTGCTTCCGGACCCGCATCATTATGGAGGGTTTGTCAACCACGAAAATAATTTAATCCTCATGAAATAGGTTTCGTAATGTTAGATAAATCTTCCATCAGACCGTATGTTGCACTATAGTACTATATATCGGTCACGGAAACCGAGAGACTGAAGGGGGAAGGCATGAGGGCAAATGTGGAACCCCACATTTCTTGCGGGGCTAGCCTTAAGCATGCATGGGGAATTTCAGGTACCTCCGCTCAATCCACAGGGACGACTCGGCTACTCATACAGGCACATGACATTGTCTACGAGGCTTGCCGGGAGAGCTTCGAGGCGAACCAGTTTTTGCTTGAGTGCTTAATGAAAGAGCTGAGGTGACCTCAAAAATGAGTGAAGAACATCTGTGCCAACTATGTGATCCGTCAATTACTTGGGCGCGTCGCTGAGAATGGTGGAAGATGTCCTTGCTGTCGAATAGAGGCGTATCCTTCAGTCCATATGTATTACTATCTGAATCATAGCTCTGGCATAGACTACGCGCCATGCAATAAACACCTGTAGTTATGCCCTATAACACCTTCTACCAAAAATAAGCTTAATTGGTACGGTCCCATAACCCCAGATGCCATCGTGGAATGGCTCCACATACATAATCGGTAGCCCCGCCTTGGAGGAGGAATGGATTGTGGGGGGAGAAGCTTCCCTTCATGCGAGGTCTGCTGATAGTAAATACCATGAGATTATCATGGGACCTTCAACACTCTCATATCACCATGAAACTGCTTTCACCTCGCTGTCAGCCATGTGGGTCTTTCCTCAAGAGTAAGGGATACCCATACCTCATCAACTAGCCCTGAACATGCCTACTTGCTCCACATGCTCCATCATTGTACGTCGACAGCTATCATGGGATCATGAGGGGCCCATTCAAACCCTCAGGTTATGCATTGACGTATGTCTCGATCATGTTAATCAGCTACTATTGCCATCATATACTTAAAGACTCTCTGTTGTTGCTGTTGTATCTACACAACTTCAGTCACGGAAGCCTTAATCCATTTACTCGTTAATACAACTTTTTAGCTTCTTCAGGTTCCATACTTCTTCCATAATGCAGGCACCCATATCCAACCAACAAAAGCCCATCAAAGACCTGACCAAAGTGTTCCACTACACAGACACCAAGACTCGGAAGCCTACCCGCGACAATGATCCATACGAATACATGGCTGGGTTTGGAAACCGCTTTCAGTCAGAAGTCATCCCAGGGACCTTACCAGCTGGTCAAAACAACCCACAAGAGCCGCGGTTTGGTCTATACACTGAAGGTCTTACGTACTCTGCCTTTACAGCCTCAAGGCATGCCAACTTTAGTACTTATATGTATCGGGTGAGGCCAGCAGCTGCACACAGTATGTATTTCTCTCTGTTTCCAAGCCAAGCTGGTGTTCCTAACGTTGTGAAGATGGCTATAGGAAAGATTATGAACACAAATCAGATATCGAGAACTGTTTCCTTACACTTAATCCCAAGGTGACAACGCTTGCTGGTCAGGCTGAATGGACACCGTTTCCTCTTCCCAACGATAACGAGAAGATTGACTTTGTAGATGGTTTGCACACCCTGGGGGGAAGTGGAGATCCAAATCTGCGAGAAGGCATTGCACTCTATGTCTTCATGATAAATGCAAATATGGACCACCGAGCATATTGTAATACGGACGGTGACTTTCTGATTGTGGCTCAGCAAGGAATCCTCCATATACAAACGGAGATGGGGATGCTATTCTTGCAACCAGGTGAAATCTGTGTGATCCCGCGTGGAGTTCGCTTCGCTATCCGGTTGGGCTCCAAGCACAATGTTGCCCGTGGGTACATCGTCGAAATATGGGGATCTCGTTGGGAGTTACCTGATTTGGGTCCCTTAGGTGGCCATGGATTAGCGAATCCGCGAGACTTTCTCCACCCTGTGGCCCACATTGACGAGAATCTCCATGAAGACTGGGAGATTGTCAACAAAGCAAATGGCCGATATAGTGTCATTGGGCAGGATCACAGCCCATTCGATTTGGTGGCATGGCATGGGAATGCCGTTCCCTACAAGGTATGCAGCAATTATTCTGTGGCTATTATGATGATGTAGATACTGACTGTCTTACAGTACGACCTGACCAAATTTGCTTCCCAAAATGCAACATCTATCGATCACACTGACCCGTCCGTGAACTGCGTATTGACTGCCCCATCTAGAGATCCAGTCACACCATTAGCCGACTTTCTATGGTTTGGGCCACGATGGGATGTGGCGTCCAACACGCTCCGTCCTCCGTATTTCCACCGCAACTCGGCAACAGAATTTCTTGCGTGTCTATATGGAAGCGGACTCGGACGCTCTGAGGAGTTCTTGCCAGGTGGAGGTAGTGTTGAGGTCAGCCATACGCCACATGGCAACTTCAGCGATGAATATGTGCGTGAAATGCGCAACCAGATGAACGAGCCACGGAGAATCTTAGAAAGTAAGACAATGACATGAGACATCAACATCATTGTAATAGATTGCTGACGGCATAGATCAAATGACAATTATGGTTGAAAGTAGCCGGTCGTTCCTGTTCACCGAGTATGCGCGAAGTGGCTGTGGAACGTTTAAGAGCCAAGGTCCAGATCCCAAAGTATGGGATGCTTTACCTGTACGTCTTTGGTCTCCACGCTGGTTGGAGCAGAGCTGATAATCTTTGTAGGACAAATTCTCCGCGTACCCAAACATCAAGAAGATTCTCAGTCAAGTCAGGTCCGATAAAGAAGCATGGAAGAAGCAACTCGAAGCGTATTATGATGATGATTGGCTGGCAGAAATGTACAAGGACCACGACCAAGCTTAGCTAGGTAAACAAATGTGTGCGTGTTTCTGCAAGGCTGAGACAGTCAGCTCTGAATCATTCATTTTGGGAGGCGCTACTGGTAGCTGGCTGGTGTTCTGCGCGCGAGGCGCCAAGCAGCAAGACCAGCTTCCAGGATGCAAAAGGGAAGCGGCAGTACGAAGTAGCATCGCAGAGATATTGGAGACGATGTGAAAGCGGTATTTAGTACAGGAAAATCCAGGCGAGGACTATCCCATGAAAGTTCGTTGATTTGTGTATGCAGAATGTCAGTTCGGTTTAAATAGGATGTCTCATCTCTTTCAGCCTTGGAGGAAATCAGGCAGATATGTCGCGGGGGTAAAGCTCAGCCTCGCCATCAACCCCGCCCACTCTTGCCCAAAGTGACGACCATTCCATCACCTCTTCCGTTGTAGCCTCTTCTATGTCAAGAGTCGGATCATTGTACAGCCCATCTTCCTCCCCTTCTTATTAATACAATCCTATCTCCCAAGTGAGACTAGAAGAGGAAAGAGATAAACTGATCCATCTATCCTTCCTGACTCTCTCCTCGCTTGTGCTTCGCGGTCTGACAGCCATCCGCCGTACAGAAGATGCCCACAAACTCATCAAAAAGCGACGTGCATTCTCGCCATCAACAGGACCACGAAATAACCCCACGTCACGATGAGTACACCGTCGGGTGGATATGCGGCTCGCCTCTGGATATAGTAGTTGCGTCAATGATGTTGGATGAGAGACATCCACAGATGTCGCAAAAGTTTTCGGCTATAGATCAGGTTATCCTCGGAGGAATTGGAGTTTACAACATCGTTATTGCTCGTTTACCGCTTAGCAGGTGCGGTGATACTCAGGCAATTGCAGCTTTGGAAAGGGAGATGTTCTCGACTTTTCCTGCCATCCGCTTTTCTCTTGCAGTCGGTATTGGAGGTGGCGTACCAAGGAGCAGCGCCGATATTCGACTAGGCGATGTTGTAGTGAGCCAGCTAACAGGCAAATCTGGAGGTGTGATCAGGTACGATCTTGATAAAACATCAAGCAGGGTCTATTCCCACCACTGGACCGGATCGCTGAGTGAGATCCCTGAATATCTGTCAAATGCTTTAGCTACCCTCCAAACCGATCACGGCCTTAGAGGGCTTATGAGGCGTCAAATCGCCAAAAATATGGCTGATATTCAAAGAAAAATATCTACTTTTGGCAAGTCCTTGAGACCAGAAGAGGACTGTCTATTTCAAGCTGAATATGAACATATCGCACCTGGTTCGTGTGCGAATTGCGATCGATCCAAGCGGGTAATACGACCTGAACGAGAGCAGGATGAGCCTGTCATCCACTATGGATCCATTGCGTCTGGGGATCAAATGATGAAAAATAGCCAACTTCGAGATCATATAGGCCAGGAACTAGGAGTCCTCTGTGTCGATGTGGGGACCCCAGGTCTCATGGGTATCTTTCCATGCCTGGTCATTCGGGGCATCTGTGACTATGCAGACTCTCACACAAACAAGGCATGGCACCAATATGCAGCAGCTGCGGCAGCAGCCTATGCAAAGGAGCTTCTATTGATGGTTCCGCAACCTCAAGCAAGAGGCATCAATAAGAGTGGAGATGGCAATCCAACCCCGGAATGGAGTGGACTAAGGGAAAGTACCCCCCCTGAGCCGTCAACAGATTCTGGATACGCATCTACTACCCACCAAAAGATCCCACGCCGAGATGAATACCACACAGAACATGTTCATAATGTTCAAGGCATAGTGTTTGCCGGAGTGAGATCCCCTTCTTCTCCGGCGGCAGCTAGCCCGAGTAAAGCACAAGACGACCACGGCGAAGACACTGAATCTATCTATACAACTAAGTCTAGCATTTCTTTTTCGGATAAGCAGAGCTATATTTCCGAACTGGTAGATGATTTGTTCAATAAAGTCCAGTGTGGCCAATATGCCCAGAAACTTCCGGAAAGAATACACGACATTCTTCCTCAACATCTGAAAGCTTTTGCATTAAGATTTGGTCAAGCTGGCTCGACTCAGATAAACAGGGATATTATGGTGTTTATCCGTCGACACAGAGAGTTCGTTGTTTCCCAAGACTTGGCGTCGCCTCCATGCAGAGACTGATAAAGCATCCTGACAGTGAAATTGCGAATGGGCTGAGAATAAAATACCTAGAAAATCAGACTGAAACCTATGTGTCAACGCATGATGACACCAAAATAAAATTAGGCGATATCATGGATCTCTGGGACCAAAATCTGGAGGATGCAGATGGTGAGCTTGCCACCGCACAATTCGACAGTGGGGCAGAGCATTTAGACGTGGACGATGATATCCCGATTGAAGACGGTGATGAAAACCTCCCTGAACACACGGAATTTTGGAGCCTGATCACCAGTAGCCCAGTGTATGAATGGCTACTTGGAAGTCTCCGGAGGAAACTTCACCTGCAACCAGCAGAGCCAAATGTTCAAGATGCTATTCGCGACCGAATCCTGGAGACCCTCCCGTCATCCCGAAGAGTCAGTCGATATGACCAGCCAACAATATATCAGGTAGAATTCCTTCTCAATTGGGATCCCGCGTCTTTCATCGCAGAACAGGAGTATGACACAAGTAAAGAAGGCTTCCTTGGGAAGATTATCACGATTACAGGGTCCGGTCAGGATGCTCAAGCAATGACTTGCTTGCAATACCTTCAGCAAACATGGCATTCATATGGTGCCGATATCCTTCAGCTAGTCGAGGCTACACTGCTTAGTGAGCGTGACTATAAACACAGCTGTACGCTTTCCCCCCATTGGTACCCGCGGATGCTTATCATGTCTATAGGTACACTGCCAGACAATACACAACTCGCGGCTTGGACGAATGAAAAGGAGTTTCTAGTTGAAGTCACTGGAATAGAGAGTTCGATTACAGAGATTGGGGAACAACTTGCGTGGCTAGGCTCTGCTCTCCGTTCCTCGCCCCACGACTCTAGGATATTGTACTGCACACCGTTCATCAACAGCGCCAGCCCTTCTCCAGAACCCCCCCAGGCCAAAAAGCGCGAGTCCCGTGCTGGGACTCGTAATGTGACGTCGCTATCTGCCGAACAGCTGGAGAGGAGGCGCATTCGGGCTATGGCGTTGGAACAAGATATACAAGAGATTCAAGCTTTGATGAAGCATCAGCTCGCCCGGCCTAGTAGACAGGAATATCCGGGTATGAGTTATCAAGATGCAGCAAACCCAAATCCACAAGCAGCAGCTATCACACGGGTATTATGCGGTATTGATTTCAAGTGTGAGGATCAGGAGCAAGCGAGCTCGTCGCCGCCCCTGGGACAATGCTGGCATCACTTGTTCCGGAACCCCACAGTGGTGATGGGCTTCCCAATACCATACCGCTCCAGACAAAATACTGGCCTTGAAATCCCGCTCAACATCTTGGCGGGTCTAGCCCAAGCAACGCAGGTGGATGTCTTTAGTGATAAGCTATTCATCAAAGGATTCTCTAGCTTATTGATCCCGACAGAGTACATCCGAGATCAGGATCAGATGATGTGGCACCTACGTTATAATGTGCATAGAGATCGCATTTCGTATCTGGATGGCATTGGGGCTCATGTCGGACACATCACACTAGCCGATTTGGAGTCGAGCCGACATATTCTTGGTTGGTGTTCAGACGCAAAGTTCTATGCCGGTATGTCATAGCATGATTCTAGGGGTGGAAAAGGGTTTCACAAGCTGACTTGCCACAAGGAGCGACAGATGCTAGTTATTCGATCAATCGGTCTTGGTTGGGGCCACCGTCCGCTCGCTGCAGCTTAAACAACATATTGATCACGGCAGGCAGGCTAATCACAGGCGGTGACCCAGCAATATATGGCAACAGAGACATACCGTATCGACTAATTAGGGATGAGTACATTGAAAAGCTCTCGTGGATTGCCAGACAATACGTGGTAATGTGGGATGCCGGAGCCAAAAGGGGGTGGTTGGTGAATGGGGCCTGCGCTCTTTTGCACCTTCTATTTGCTTCCCTATATTTCAACAGAACTGATCCACTCAGCTTTGCATTCCAGTTAGATCTTACCGACATCAAAGTCCCAGAGAACACATTCAACCCCAGCTCAGCAATGGAAGTCTTGTTGAACCATGATAACCTTAGTCTGAAACTGTACCACGCGAAACAGAGCCAACCAAGTGAGGCAACTTTACCTCCAGTACAGATTCGAGATAGAGTCAATCGTTTGTATAACATGCTCGAGAAGATCATGGATCATCAAGCAGAGATCATGGGGGCAGGTGGCGGAGCGTCACTCAATATGTCCAGGGGAAACCTGGAAGGATGGGATTTCAAGGATTTAGCGACCCAGGAAGACCCGCTGTATCCTCGGCTTTGTAAGTTGGGGATCAGAGGGAAAAGCTGGGTTGACTTTACTAGAGATATTCGTGCGGCAGTGCTATTTGGGACGGGGTTTGGTGAGATTCTTCGCCCGGTTGATAACGACCAACTATGCCCATATTGGAGCACATTGCCAGAAGGTAAATCTTACCTTGCAGTCAGTGGGTATGATCTTACAAATATCATCGATCGGTTTGGAAATCCACATAGTAGACCGGTCCGACTGACCCGCAATTTGATTTGGTGCAACTGCCTAGACAATGGCCCCCAAGCTTGCAAGTGCATTGGACTCCCGGAACAGACAGAACATTCCGAACTGGCACAAGTAATCCTGCCGTCACACTTCAAAAGGAGAATACCTAAGCTAAATTCCGTTCGACCAAGCGGTTGGGGCCATGGCGCGATATTATTTGGTTACAACAAAGACTTGCGATGGACCTGGAACGACACCGGTTTCCCTGAACAGAAAGACGTCTTGTCATGCTCAGATGATTCGGGGTCCGATTCAGACGGCGACTTCCAAGACTCAGGACTTGGAACAAGCTTGGCTCCTCCCAATGCCGATGGTTCCAGGAGACTGTCATTGTCAAGGTCCCCGTCTGGAGGTATTACTCACGAGGACTACGAGGTAGGCATTGTGTGTGCGCTGTCCAAAGAACTTCTTGCCGTCCGCGCATTGTTCGATTCAACCCACCCTGACCTCGAAAAAGACCGAAATGACCCTAATTGCTATTGTCTCGGACGGATGAAAGGATTCAATGTGGTTGCTGCTGGTCTCCCACACGATGATTATGGCACGAATTCCGCCACAAATGTTGCTTCTCATTTGATCCGAACTTTCCCGCGAGTGAAGTTCTGCCTGGTCGTTGGAATTGGAGGGGGGGTACCTTCCGCAAACCGGGACATACGGCTTGGTGATGTCGTCGTCGGTACTGGGGTGATACAAGGTGATATGGGGAAATGGATCCAGAACTCCGAATTTAAGATGACGGCGCAGAAACAACAACCACCGCCCTATTTACGAGCAGTCATCACGAAAATCCAGTCCAATGGCCTCATCTCCTTTGAGTCCGCTTTGAACCCGCTCCTTGTCGATCTTGATCTGATTGCCTCAATGCAATCGAAATACTTATACCCAGGCGCAGACAAAGACATGCTATTCGACGCAGGTGACGTGCACGTTGAGACGGAACCAAATTGTGACAAGTGCATCGGCAGCCGACGTCCAAGGACTCGACAGCATGACGGCCCAAGCGTTTACTACGGTCTTATCGCATCTGGTAATCAGCTCGTTCGAGATGCAAGATACCGAGACCGCCTGGGCCAGGAAAATGTGATCTGTGTTGAGATGGAGGCGGCAGGAGTCATGAGAACCACCACTGACTGCCTTGTCATTCGGGGCATATGCGATTATGCCGACTCACATAAGAACGATCAGTGGCAGGAGTATGCCGCTGCCTCAGCGGCTGCTTACGCCAAATTTTTCCTGTCTCATATGCGCGAAAGCGCTCATGAGTTCGCCGTCCGAGTCCCATCACGGTTAGAAGCTCCGACGGGGTCAGTACACTTGCAGAAGGAGAAGCGGGCTGCATCATGTGCTGTCTATGACCAGCATGTGGAGCTCAAGAGATCTCGACGATACTGAATTCTATGCCAGTGCTGACTGAGGTCGATCTAGACGAGCTCCAGATGTCGCCATAATCCAAGGAACGATCAGAGGTGATAATGCCAGAATACTACGGTTCTACCTGTTTCTAATGGCAGCAAGACGAACAATTGACTCGATATGTACACCTGTAATTTGGAAATTCCCTATAGAGACTCCTATAATAAAGGGGGGATTCTCTTTGAACCTCCGTTGTTGGTCATGCAAAAGCCTTCAAGGCATCATTTGGTACACCCATATACAGACCTAGTACAAACTTTCAGAGTCGATCTGATGCCTCTTAACTGGAGATGATTGTATCTGTGGGTGGGTTAGCGAAATAGGATTACCTCTCACCAGGTTTTTGAAAGTAATTCTTCCACAAAGGGTTTCTGATCCAAGTGCTTCATGAACCCTTAACAACTTCCACTGAATGCAATACGAGCGATTACCCCAGGATTCCCAGATGCGATGACTAACAATAATCGGGTGTCTCTCATTGGCTGCACTGTGTATCAATCTGGTATCCGTACGGCTACCCCACGGCTCCGGCAGTTCGGCACCCACGCCTTACCCGATCGGGGCTTAAGCCAGACCGGGGCTGCAGGTAGCCGGTTATGTTTGCGATGCACTCCCCTCACATCACCGTTCTTCTTCTTCTTCTTCTAAGAAATAGTGAGAGACCACACCATGTCCAGCTAAATATTAACGGCTTATTTCTTCTTTTCTGCCAAAAACCTCAATAACACCATAATGGTGTTGCGAAAGTGCACCATATGCGATCGACGGTTCAAGAAAACGGAACATTTTAAGCGCCACGAACGCTCACGTAAGTCAACCGACCTGCATATGGTTGCATCCTGCTGACGACTAGTAGATACCAAGGAGAAGCCCTATGAATGTAGTGTCTGTCATAAGCGATTTTCACGAAGGTATCGAAGCTGTGGGCTATTTTCACTCCTGCACGTGCTAACACTGTTGCAGTGATGTCCTAAGCCGCCATGCCAGGGGTCATAATCAACCAGCTGCCAATGCAGCGGTTGAACCAGGTGCTGGTATTCCTGCCACACCTACCAATCAAGCTCCTGCTCATCGACCATCAACTATGACAGCGGGAAATCAGAACTACGTCCTTGGTATGGGTGCGGAGAGTGCTCGCCCGCTCCAGCATGGTTCGTCGGCACCTCACAATTTTACAATGTCCGCGGCTCTCGATCAGCAGTCGACTTCCTTGGACTTTCTTGCCAACGTATCTGCTCATCAACCTCGCACTGAACCAGTAGCTAGTCAGATCATGGCAAATGAGCATCAAGGTTACCTTGGCTGGAATGACGTGCCTGTTCCGGACCAGCAATGCTACAGAGGGACAGTTCTTGATCCATTGCACAACGACATACTGCAATTATGGCTGGAGCCGCAAGGGGACTCGATCTCGCAGCAAGGATCAATCGACCTCAGGGGGAATTCTAATCTCGGCATTTTAGGGGAGACCGTTGCTTCTTCAGAGCAACCACGACCATCTATTGATAGCATGAGCTTGAGCTCTGGAAGTAGTATTCCAACTGAACGGTTTGCCCGTGTTCAGCGCTATTGGCTTGCTCCATCCAACAACACTGGGCGGCTCATGAACAGCTTATGGCATGATGTAGCCTACAGCGAACAGGACAATGTGTTCGCTTTCAGGCCAACCCACTCTTCCAGCGCCCCGTCGGGTTACCTGCAGGGGTCGAGGTACGGCGTCGATGAAGAGTGCAGGCAGCGTCTTTACACAATGTTCAACCAGAGCCAAGGTCAATCTCAGATGCGTTCTTCTGAGGTTACTGCAGTCTCGCCCTTTACCCAACCACATCGCAATTCCAATTTTCCTCCTGCGGAAATTCTGGATATGGCACTAGATCTGTTCTTCCGCGACTTTCACCCACTGGTGCCGTTTATCCACATCCCAACATTCTCTGCAAAAGACGCCCGTCCATCCTTGCTCTATGCCATGTGTCTCATTGGCATGGTCCTGTTGGGAACCAAAGGCACGTTAAGCTTCGTTGTCAACAACTTCTCGGTATGATCAGGTCTTATGTGCAGTGTGCGTTGCTAATATGCTATAGTCCACGCTTGGAAGTATTACAGCAGAATTAGCCAAGTGTTCAGTTGGAGTCGAGGGTTCTTTGTCCACCGTGTCCACTTTTGCAGCTGCATTTCTGTTTTTGAATTTGGCTGCCATGACAGGAGTAAGTTTTAATTGAGAAAGAAATTGAGTTATACTAATTTCTGTAGGAAAAGGAACATCTCGAAAAGTGCCAAATGCTCTATGTTAATCTCATATCGGTATGCCATTCAACCAGAGCCATAGAATACGGCTGACACTTCATTAGATCGCACAGCGGCACGGACTCTTCGCGGCTAGGGAAGGGCAGGTGCTTGACACGCACCTGTTCGACGCTATCCCTAATACTGAGACTCGGTGGAAAGCCTGGAGCAAGGTAGAATCAGTAAAACGGTGAGTTGCACAAAATCTCAGAAGAGCATCCGCTGATATCACAGGCTCATAACTGGACTACTGCTGCTCGACTCTTGGTACTCATCGTTCATGTCTACGAGTCCGATTATTGTGCCAGACTCTGTTCAACTGATACTGCCGTGTGATGAAGCGCTCTTTCGAGCTACAACTTCCACGCGCTGGATGCAGCTAAGCGGTAGTGACAAAGTCAGCTTGATGCCTACGATACTGATGCCATCGGAGAATGTCGACATTCCAACACTTCGCAGCCCGATAGATGATTTCTGCATGTATGCAGTACTAGCAATGGTTCAGTCGAGGCTTTCAGAAGCATACTATCGACTTCTTTCAAATCGTGCCAGCTACCCCTTCGCCCCCTGCAATACATATGCCATGGACGGGCGTGCAAGATGTCTGCCATCACTTCAGCTCCAGCTAACAAGCAAATATGGCGATGTGCTGGACCGGCTCAATCCAAACGCAGCCGTCATGTGGCACAATATGTGCATGACGCTAACAGCAGACACCCAAATCTTCGACATGGCAGCTGGCCGTTCTGGCCCAGGCCCTGCCCGAAAAGCACTCGATGACATTGCAGCATGGTCGCAAACACCGGCTGCCAGACGAGCTTGCTTGCATGCAGCACACATCTACCGAGCCATGACGAATAGGAAGGCATCAGACCATACAATGTTCCATTCTGTATTCTCCCTTTTCTACGCAGCACTAGTGCTGGGTCTTTACGTCTTCATGGTGCCAAGTACCTCTGAGATGCAGCAAGGTGGACACTCCATCGAGCTTTTCGATGATATTGATTGGCAAAAGGTGGGCATTGAGGGGTTCACCAGCTTCATGGAGCCTCAAGAAGGCCAATCTTTTCCGCCGTCTGAAGAACCTGCGATGAATTTTATTCGGAACGGCGGCACGATATACCTACGCGGTGTTCCCATCCAGGGAGGCTATCAAGCAGCCCGCCGCGTTCTACTCGACTACGCAGGACTGCTAAAGGATACAGGGAAGTGGAGCGTACGAAAGTTTTCGTATGTGCTGCATATCATGAGCGATGTGCTAATGGATGTGGAATGACCACTACACCAGAAGTGAAGCCATCAACTGCGTTACGATCTCATTTATGAATACGACAGCATGTATACCAATATATGTACAATATGATAACCCACGAATAGGGTACTAGGTTATACCCACGACCGATTCCTAACCCTTTCATTCAACATTTCCAACTCCTCCTTCGACGCAACCACTCCCATGATCCCTTTACCACGAGCAGCACCCTCCCCAGCAGCACCAGCATCATCCCTCCTCTCCCCCGCCAACACAACCCTCAACCCATCATCCCCATCCCCATCTTCACCTTCATTATTCAAATTCCTCCCCCTCGCAAACCACAACCCCTCCCCATCCTCCCTCTCACTCTTCACCTTCACAACACCCCCATTCTCAACCTCTTCCACAACCGCCCTCTCCCCAGCACTACTGCCCCCCTCCGACGCCGTCTCCTCCTCACTCTCCCCCGTATACTTCGCCACACTAATCCCATTACACCTGGCATTTGGCATATGCAGCACGTCATGCAGCACAAGGGTATTCGTGCGCGAATCGTCCGGTGCCCGTTGCACCCGGAGCTGCACTGTTCCTACGCCTAGCACCCGCTGGTTCGCGATCTTGCATGGTGCTCGCCGGTAGCTGCTGAATGAAGAGCGGTTTTTGGCGATGTGTGTGTTGCTTTGTCGGGGGAGGAGGAGCCAGGTGAAGCAGCGGTTGCTGTTGCTGCTTTTGGATGAGGATGAAGAAGAAGGGGTGGGGTGTTGGCGTTGGCGTCGGTTTGGACGTGAGCGTTGTTTCTTGGTTTGGGTGTGGGTGTGGGTGTTGGCGTGGTTGGGGATAGTGTAGGGGTGGTAGGGGTTGTAAGAGGTGTGATGGTGAGAATATGGTGGGTGTTGTAGATGGGTGGTCATATTGGATGAGCGTGTAGTATATAGTAGGTAGATATCAGTAGATGTAGTACTTGATGAAAAAGAAGTATAGGTGAAGAGAGAAGTATGAAGTAAGTAAAGAAAGTAGACAGTTCCAACTTTCACGTAGTGTAAAACAAAGCATGATAATATAGATCGAACTACAAAATGACCAAGGAAAGAATATCATATCATATAAGTACTCAGAGTATCGAACACGCGTAACCGTCGATCCAAGTCCGGGTCTGGACTTTGAGGGGATCGGGGATCTGCTGGCAAAAGGCGTGGCAAACAACCTCCCAACCCGCCCTTCCGTATCGGGTAACTCCTCGCTGATTGTTCATTCTAGATTCTTTCACATTTCCCCATCATTCTACTATTTTTGACTGAAATAGAAACATAATGTGATCTGTCAGTCCAGGTACACTCTTCTCCCTTGAAATAAAATAATGTTTTTCTACTTGGAATACTGTGCAAAATATGCTATGTCTGAAGGGTATGTATCTATCTGCCACAAGTCTTGACGTAGCCGATGGAGAAGCTTAATCAGAGGTGGAGTCCAACGCGTCGTCCTTGATGGAGTTCCAGCCATGCTAAGCCTGCGGAACAAGACTTGATCGACCTTGGTTATGTGAGGTCTTTTGTTCGATGATGGACTGCCAAGTTCGCCTTGTAGGCTTGTCTAGACTTTGTGTGGTATTCTTTGTCTGCGTGTTTCATACTCATGCTCCACTCCGATATACAAACTATGTATATCCTCCGTAGTATGTACGCAACCCAAGTCTGCATCTACTATATACATGAAAGTAGTAGTAACTATCTAAGCATACAAAATATCCCTCACCCTCTCCCCAATGGCCAAACAACTCGTCAACCCAGGACTCTCAATGCCCAACAAATTCACAAACCCAGGAAACCCTTCCTCCTCCTGAATCACAAAATCCTGAAACCCTTTCCCCGTATTCACCGCCCCTCCCTTCCCCAACTTAGGCCGAATCCCACAATAATCCAAAGCGATCGCCTCAACATCCACATTAGGCAAATACGCCCTAATCTCCGGCAACGCCTGCTGCAACCTTGCCGGACTGGGCCTCAAATCACTTGGATCCTCCACCCACTCGACATCCGGCCCAAACCGGATCCTACCGCCCATATCAAGGGTCAAATGGGTCCCTAGCCCGCCCGTCCCCGGCAACGTAGTCGGATACACCAGCACCGAGGTCTTCGGCGTGGAAGCCGAGTAAGAGAAGTACGTCCCCTTGGCGAAATAAGCTTTTCGATGCCGCTCAGCCGGCATCACCATGTTATTGATCGCACAGGCCCCATTGCCTGCACTGTTGATCACCGTCTCCGCTGTGATGGTCGTCTCGCTCCCGTCCGCTGACACAGCGCTGATCCGGTATCCGCCGCCCTCACTAGCAGGGAGGGGTTCAATGCCCGTCACCTGTGTCATGAACGCACAGTCTCCGCCGCGATCTTCGAAATCTCCTTGTAGATAGGTCATTAAGGAATGGCTGTCGATGATGCCGGTTGTCGGGCTCTCCACGATGCCAGCCAGGGCGCGCACTTCGGGTTCGCGCCGCTGTGCTTCTTCCTGGCCCAGGATGCGTGTGGGGACGCCGATGCGTTTGGCGTGTTCGTGCACGCGCAGACAGGCTTCCCATTGTTCTGGGGTTTGGGCGACGATCCATTTTTTGGTGTTGCGGTGTGGGATGTTGTGTTGGGCGCAGAGTGCGTACAGGAGCTCTTTGCCCTTGATGCAGAGGGAGGTTTTCAGGGTGTCGGCGCCGTAGTAGAGGCCTGCATGGATGACCTATCATTGTGAGATCATCACTTAGCTTTGTTCTTGAGAGTATAATTGCATTGGTGTAATTGGGGTCTGGAAAGCTACCTCTGAATTGCGACTACTCGTCTCCGTCCCCGGCGCGTCATGTCTCTCTAGTAGAATCGTCGATGTGCCCTCTTTCATGGCTAGTTGGCGCGCAACTGCCAGTCCGACGACCCCTGCGCCTATAACCTTGACAGTAGTGTGTTAGATTGCTGTTTGTGTTTCCTGCAAGGACGTAGATAGATGGTGTTGGTAGGGATTGGTTACCGCATGTGTGACGTCGGCCCTGGAGGCGGCAGTACTGGAGAAGGCGCGCCGCGATAGAAGGCGGCCATTGGGAATGGAACGGAGAATACGAGTGGCCATTGGGGTTGTGTGACTCCGTGGGATCATTTAGACAATGCCTGCATTGTACGGGGGTGGGTTGTTGGGGTGAGGAGGAGCATTTGAGTGGTGGTTGTTCCCCACGACGGGCGGAGTCGGCGTCGGTGCCGATGCCGATAAGCTCTGCTATTATCGTTATCTTCGGGGATGTTCCTGGCCCGATACTTGGTTGGTGAAGATTGGAACATGGATTTCGTATGCTGATTCAGGGGTATCTGATTGAAATACTTTATGTTCTAACTATATGGGGTGGTCGCCTCTATGGATCATATTATCGTACAGTAGACTATTTGGGCGTGCCATCTCAGGCTATGGAATATACAGTGGCAGATTCAGACCAACCCAGCGGGTCTATCGACGAATGTCGATCGATTAGCCACGCTTGCCTACGTTCTTGAGCATGTCTTCTAAATGCTGCATGCTGTTAGTTCGATCCTTTGAATTGGCAATGTGGCACGTACCTGTTTCTGTTCGGTGGCTAGTTTGCCATGGGTATCCTGCATCGGTCAGCACCAGCATTCGCAGCGGACCACATCGACTTACACTAATAATAGCCAGAACAAGTGAGTAATTATTGTAAAGAAACCTCTCCCTCCGTTTGGCGTCGCCGCCAACCCGGCTAAGCTTTGCTAGAAGATTGTCAAACTCTGTGGTCAATCGGCCCAGACTATTGGCCACTGGCTCGTCATCCCCGGCTTCACTGCTCAGCACCAAAATGCCGTGCAGGAGTTGTCCAAAACGCTGAGTGAGAAAATGAGGTGCAGATGATTTGTTGAGATCGTCTCCTCCGGCAAGAGACAATGCGGAGACCGCACTACGGCCGGTGTTCGCTGCTACCCGTTTCAGGGACTCGCACTGCGTGTCCATGATGACTTGGAACCGAGGCCACAATTGCATGTTGGTTCCGTTGACATAGGAGTCGGCCACCGGTACCTTGCGCCGCTGCAATTCGAAAGCGGCTTGCTGGTTTAATCGCACGCAGATCAGAACTCCGAGCGCATCTGTAGTCTGCTCGATCAGGTGCTTGGTCAGGGCCTGTCCAAGGGTGAAGACTGGTTCGAAGATCTCAACGGCCTTGCGAGATATCTGTTGGAAGCCCAATGTGGAGAACATCTCGGTCATGAACGAGTATTCGGCGGAAACATTATCTAGGAGAGCAAGGTTGAAGTTTCGGAAAGGGACTTCGAGTCCGTGGAAAGCATTGTCCTCCTCTGCCAAGTAGGAAGATATTGCCATTTGATTACCTGCCCTAAGTATGTCGACTCTCCTGCCGAGAGAGAAGGGGTCGTGCGCCGCAGAACCAGCTCGGCCGCCGGGAACAATATTACCTGTGCTAGTCAGTATCAGTCAAATCATGCACTGAGCAGCAAGCCCAAACACACCTGTTTTATGTGAGGATGGATCCCCTCCTAATACCTCATTCCGATCGCTCGGATAGACCTTGATTTTTTCGAGTGCTTGGTGATACCTTGTGAAATGCGACAGGTAATACCATCGCATCGTATTGATGTAGGCCTGGGTGATTTCTCCCGTGAGAGTGGGGTGGGCTCGTGATATGTAGCCGTACAAGTCCTTGAACTTAACCAGTCGCTGCTGCTGGATGATCTGTGCATTGATGTTCGGAGATCGCAGGGCTCGAATTTGAGACACCAGGTAGTCCCGGATCCGCTCCACTGCCTGCATGTCTGTTAGTCAATCTGTAAAGTAAATTTATACCGGAAGCAGTACCTTCTTCTTGATATCACCCAGCAGAGGCCGCACATCTTCGATAGACTTGCTACTATTGGTGCCTGAGGCCTTGGCTTCGATGCTAGCCGTCCGAGTCTCGATCTCGTTCAGAGCCTTGACCCAGTTCTCATCAATAGGTCCCTCCGCCACTAATCGCACGGTCTTCGGAGACAAGCTGATTTCCTCCACAGCAGGTCCAAGCAGCTGTTCAACATTCCGTCGGTTCTCTAGCATCGCATTCAGCTGTATCGAACGAGATTGCAAACTCTCTATTTCTGCTGATACGGCTCCCAATTCATTCTGAAAGTCATTCAAGTACATTTCAACTGACTTGGAGACGTCATCGCAGCCAGTGATTGCCGAGTGCAGGTCCTGGAATTTGTCCCTTTCCTTCTCGAACTGCTGGATGGTCTGGGCGCCGACATCACTTTGCCAGGCTCTTCTAGGTTGTTCTTCTTCCGCGATAAAGTCTTCCAGGCTGAGTCCATGGAAATCAATGTCCTCCACAAGCTCCGAGGGTTTCACTTCCGCGACGGACGCTGGAGAGCTATCTCTTGTTTTGCCTTGTTTTCCAATGATCCCATTCAAAACCTCGAGCGGATCAGCAACATCGGATGGGCGGGGTCGTGCAGCACTCGGTTTAGGCGAGGAGCCTTCACGCGCAGTCGCAGCGAGGGAAGTAGATGAGTCGTTCGGAGTCGACAAGAGAGACAACGCCGAACCTTGGCGACTGGAGGCGGGGCGATTGTTCTGAGTCGGAGCCAAGCGAGATGAGGTCCTTCGAGGCAAGGGAGAGCTGCTGCGACTATCGAATTGGGGACCGGAGGGCGTCGCATGACCCGAAATGCGGTCTAGCCACATCTTGGGAGGCCGACACGGAGAAGCGTGCGGATAGCGGAGAGCTCCCCGGGTTCATCGAGGGGTGAAGTGGAGAGGTGAGGGAAGTTCTCCCAGAACACAGGTGGGTACTGGGAGATATTATACGGCTGCGTACATTCGAGAAGACGAAGGTGAAGACCGTAACCAGGCTGATAAGTTGACAAGAGGATAACTAGTAGATAGCTACTACTTACTACTATAGTGATTAGGAGTATACGTGGAATAGCAGGCCGAGATGCTACGGCGAACTACAGCAACCGCGGACGTGGTTTGTCCGAGACTAGACCGGACTGGGACTAGCGACCACAAAACCCCGCCACAACCAGTGCCTTTTTTTCGCAGTCCATTTGTCGATTTCTTTTCGCCTGTGTCCCCCTCTTCGTCCTTCCTTCGCTTTTTTCTCTTCCTTTTCCTCTAATCTCCTCCTCAATTCCAACATCCTCCTCACCTCTCCCTTTCACCTTTTACCTCATACCCCCTAAAATCCATCACCATGGCTGACGAGGTAGGTGCTAACTCTCCTTCTGCGAACTCCCCGGTCTACTCAGTTGCGGCCTATCTTCGTCCTGCTTGCTCGGTTGGGTTGGGTGTTTTCGGGGCCTCGCATCTCGATCGCTGCCCCCCACCCAACCCCCCTCGTTCCTGCAGACATTGTATATTTCGCTACACTCTTGGACCATCGTCTGTCATCTTGATCATGGGCTAGTTCGCTAATCTTCACACTCAATAGCACGAGACCTTCGAGTCCGCCGATGCCGGCGCCTCGGCCACCTACCCCATGCAGTGCTCTGCTCTGCGCAAGAACGGTCACGTTGTCATCAAGGGCCGCCCCTGCAAGATCGTTGAGATGTCCACCTCCAAGACTGGCAAGCACGGTCACGCCAAGGTCCACATCGTCGCCATCGATATCTTCACCCAGAAGAAGCTTGAGGATCTGTCCCCCTCCACCCACAACATGGATGTCCCCAACGTCTACCGCAAGGAATACCAGCTCGTGAGTAGTTCGGAACATGTACGGTCTTGATGAACTTGACACGCTAACACAGCTATAGCTTGACGTTACTGACGACGACTTCCTTTCCCTGATGGATGAGGCCGGTAACACCAAGGACGACGTCAAGGTCCCCGAGGGTGAGGTTGGCGACCGTATCCGCCGCATGTTCCACGACGAGGAGAAGGACTGCAGTGAGTAACACCCGTTCATCTTGGATTAGTGGCTGTTGGCATGGTTACTGACGAATTTCCTTTCCAGACGTCACCATCCTGTCCTCCATGGGCGAGCAGGTCTGCATGGATGTCAAGGAGGCTCCCAAGGGCAACTAAATTATTGTGTCTATGGACCGTTAACTGCTCTGTCATCCATGGTGTATTTGAAGAGCCTCGCTCGGCTTTGCCCTTGGTCAGGTGGATGATACGGCCTTTTGGGCAGCTGCGGCGCCACGTACTCTTATATCCGTCTGTTTAGCCTTGGGTATACGCTGAGCTGGCCATGATGGTCACGTTAATTTGGCAGCATAAATCCTGCCTTGTCAGAGAAACAGTTCTTGAGTTCAGCACTTTCACGATAGTTTGACGAATAAAAAATTAACTACCTTTCTCCCAACCTATCATGTCCAAATGTCATTCGTAGACGAGATAAGCAGCGTAGCAGTGTAGATTCGATATTCTGAGAGACGCCTGCATGAAATCTACGGAAACAATGAAGTACCAACCTTATCGCAAGAATTAAAGGCTACGCAGTGGGCGATAAGGCGCATGCGGATATTACTTTTTCGGGGTCCTGCATCAACGGTAGAAAAATCTGACTGGTAACAAATCTCTGGTAGCTGCGTTGACCCGCTCCGGAAGACCCAGGCCTTCTGTTCCTCCACAACCTTTGGACAAGGAAGAATGAAGAGCGCTGCCCTGGATGGAGTACATCACCCGAGGGGTTTGCGGGCAGGAAGGGTGCCGTGAACGACGGTATTATCTGGATAATGGCCTCTGGTTCTGCAGGCGGGGTCATCAACAAGAGGTCTGATCTTCCCCCTCTCTCCCGCCCCTCACTCATTCTACGCACGCGACCGATCAGCCCACTCATTCTCCATTTGTCGCGTAGGGACGTCAAGTCGAAGAAGATCCCGAAGACTTTAACACACAAGGCCGGACAAGTCGCGTAAAGAAGGCTGCAGCGGAGAAGTCTCAAAAGAGTAAGAGAGCCTCCAACCTACTATAACTACAACCACCACCATCATACTACCATCATGGTTTGGAGGTGACGCGCTCTCCACATCGGCTAATATCAGGCAGCATACCGGGGACGCCAGGCCTATAGTCTATTTCTGCAAGTCTACCAATTGATCCTCTGGAAGCAATGTCACGCGCTGGTCCATCACCGCGGCTTTCCGTCCGAGCTGGAGGTATGCATGACATAGCCCCCCTTGGGCAAACCACTAATGAATGGCTCACTGATGCACGCATAGTCTGTCGTTCGCGATCTTTGGGCGCTCCGATTGGAGACGTATGCCGAGAAGATCAATGATCCTTCAGAACAGGATGAGGAGCCTGAGTTCTTCAGCTCGCAGGTAACCTCGGGCCTGGATGGATCCGACGACACCAGGTTCAGAGGAAGGCAGGCGACATGGCCTCGCCTTATTGATAGCATTGCTTTGTGCTATCTAGGCGCCCTGTTAATGAGGCTCCCAGTGGGTGTTGGGGATATCTATGGGTGAGTAGTCAAGTATGAACCACTTTGGATCTTGCAAGGGCTAAGTGAATGTTTAGAATGGTAATGCGTGGTGATGTTCCTTTCATCAGGATTGTTAAGATTATCCCTCGAGATATGAGGGATAAACTGCCACAAGAGTTTATTTCGATACTTGAGACAACGGTGAGTGCCTATGATAAGTTAGGAAGAGATGGTCGTGTCTGACTATATGATAGAGGCTACTCCAAGCCGAGCACCTTCATGGCGCTGTCTCAGACCTTCTGCTGCTTTATCATAACAAATTCAACATGCAATTCCCATCTTTGAACTGGCCAGTCCTGTTATATAAATATGTCAAGAGACTTGCGCTTCCTCGTATGCGACGCCCCCGTCTTCAATCATGCCTATTCGTTAACCTACTTGCAGTGGATATTCACCCCGCCGCGAAGAAGTTGCAGCATCTTCTAGGGTTTGACTTTGAATACCCTACAAGCATATCTGGAAGGAGGAGGCCACTCCAACTGCCCGAGCTGCAACTAGTCGCTCTGGTTGTCATCACCACCAAGCTTCTGTTCCCGTTTGACGATGTTGAACGATATCCCACAACTGTTGAAGAGCCCACAGTGCAAGTGATCGACTGGAATCTTTGGTCACAAATACAAAGGCATTATGACAATCGAGAGACGCCTGCGGGTCAGCTTGGCAAGGGAAAGGAGATATTGGTGACTGAGAGAGACGTCTTCAGCATGACGCCATCCCAGCTCGACGAGTATATGAACTGGTACGAGAATAGCTGGCTCGATCCAAGTAAAGGTATGAACAATGCCACATTTTTCCCTTCTCAGTGCTGAACAATGTTCCAGTATCAAATCCCCTCGCAGATCTCTTTCCGACTGGTCCAAGTGCTGGAGACAGCCAGACCACAGCTCCTACTCCAGACATAACAGATGAGGAAGCTCTTGATGGATTGATCAAGGCGTCCACCAGCCAATTGAGATCAAGACAGGTCATTGCAGATAATGACCTGGAGACCCCACGGCCGGGATGCTCCTACACGCGGTATCGGACCGAATCTGACCTTCCGGATACTGCGAGGTCCTTCTACGAGACAGCTGCCAAGGTAGCCGGTGTTTCCCTATCTACATTGATTAGGGCTGTATCACAAGCAGAAAATAAAATCAACCGCTGGCTTGAAGAGCAGCGGCGGGTTGAGTACTTTGGATCGATGGGCATGGAATTCACTCGGGACTCCAGTGCGGATCCAGACAATGATGAAGAGAGCATGTCTGAGCTGGAGGATGGTGACTTAAGTTGAGCTTGGCGATCATATATACTAGGGAACTGAGCCAATTGGGTCCCGTCTTTGAAGTAGTATATAAGTATCAAAAATAGAAACATCCTATACTGTTAGTCCTTGAGGTTATATTTTCCCTGCAAATTAACATTATTTGAAGGAAGGCTGATTTGCATCATTGAGCACTGATGTCGGGTCGAGCATCATAAAAGCATAACCAAACGCGGACCGCGGACCACGGACCACGGGCAGCCTCCAACGTATGGATGATGCTAAATGGATGATGTAAAAGTAGTAGTAGTCTACGGACTAATTATGGAGACTGCGGAGAGGCCCCGAACGCGGCCGGACTGCCCTAAACCCTGATCACGTGCGGTCCGTTCCACCTTTGCTAAGCGAGAAATCGTGAAATTGACATCGCCTCATCCGACCGACCTTGTCAGCCGATCGTCAGCCAGCAACAACGAAAACCGCAGCCAGTACGTATACCCTTTTCGTTCGTGAATGCGAAATGCGTGTCCTCTGAAGTCGCAAGCTAACATGTCGTTTTTTCCGCGTCTTTGCAGTGCAGATGTAGGTCATTCCAAGTTCCCTGGCAACCACCCGTCGAATCCCAGCCCGAAATCCGAAAGAGATGGCACGAATAATATCATCGAGAATGAAACAAGGAAACTGACCCAGACTTCTTTCCGATCAATAGTTTCGTCAAGACCCTCACGGGTAAGACCATTACCCTCGACGTCGAGTCGAGCGACACCATCGACAACGTCAAGACCAAGATCCAGGACAAGGAGGGTATCCCCCCGGATCAGCAGCGTCTTATCTTCGCTGGTAAGCAGCTTGAGGATGGCCGCACCCTGAGCGACTACAACATCCAGAAGGTATGAAATGAACCGGTTCCGCGAAATATCTTATACGTCGAATTCGTCTGCTCGGATAGTCGGTTACGAACATGATGCGATTTGGGTCGGTTGGGGCACCACAACACGCAACTAGGTTTTGAGGAGGGGGGATAGTTCCATCGGCACGGTCGCATTCATGGACGTTTCACGACTATCGGCATCCGACGCGACATCAATCACTCGGGATATAGTTTGACTGACGGGTTATCTTCTCGACTATAGGAGTCCACCCTTCACCTGGTCCTCCGTCTGCGTGGTGGTATCATCGAGCCCTCCCTTAAGGCTCTTGCCTCCAAGTACAACTGCGAGAAGTCCATCTGCCGCAAGTGCTACGTACGTCCATCCATCCATCCATACTACTTCCTTACCCCTCGACTCGATCCCGCCCCTCTTTTGAGTCCCGGCTAGCGAAAAATCCCCCACTAACATTGATAACCCGATTAGGCCCGCCTTCCCCCCCGTGCCACCAACTGCCGCAAGAAGAAGTGTGGTCACACCAACCAGCTCCGCCCCAAGAAGAAGCTCAAATAGACGATTATCTTATTACGGTTTTTCTGCGTTGCTGGGGAAAAGTGCTGCTGGGGTTACGATACGATTGCAACGTGGGAGATTTTCTACATGGCGTTGGAATGATGAATCATTACTTATAGCCGAAGTCAAATGTCTATAGTTGACTCCTCGGGAAGAAGTTGCAATCAAAGCACAACCTGTAAAATTCAAAAAAAGCTCTCGTCGCATTCTTAGTAGATACACATACACACATGCAGCACGGCTTGGTGGGAAGGAAAACGTTCAACAGACAAAACGGCAGGAACGACATCAGAAATAACAACACTTGAGAACATAAACCAGCAAGTCGACACATGATATGACATGACATAATGCTGCCGGAGCAAATGTCATGGTCCCTCGCAGGGGAAAGACAGCAACTGAAGAGTATAACAACCGGAGGGAACCACACCGATACCAGCAACGACATCTAGCACCTTTTCTACCAACCACCAAACATCCGTCGCTTGTCGTCGTCGTCGTGGTCATCGTCGTCATCGTGGTCCTTGTTTTTCTTCGAAACGGGACTTCCATGTCTGCACATAAGCCCATATTAGTCACAACCCTTCGCAGTAAGATAATCCCACAAGAGGTGAAATAAGAGGGAACCACGTACGCAAAGAACAAGATCTTAATCGCCAACGCAAACCCAGCATGCAGAACAATGACCAGAATCAGCAAGATCTTACTAGCCTTCGCATCCGTAGCACTAAGCACCGGGTACAGATTGCGCAGGAGGAAGAAGACCGTCCACCCGAAGCCAACACCCACCAGAGCCCAGTTCAACGCCGTCAAAGGACTCCAGCTAACCAGTGCGACCGCAATCCAAACCAGGTTCGAGTACCCATAGAGCGCCCACGACTCAACCAAGTCCGCGCTGGAGCTGCCGAACCACTTCAGCGCACCCCACAGCGCAATGGGAATGATGCCTGTATATCCGTAAACTAAGCCCGCGGCACCGGATAGCAAAGTAAAGTCGTATTCGAAGTGCTCGTCGTCATTGTTGGAGAGCCATTGCGAGATGGTACCGGTTAGGAAGAGGATGACGACGACGGTGGTTGCGATCCAGAAGGGTCCGTAGAGGTCCGGGTTTCCTTCCAGGACGTCGAGGAAGTTGCTACGCGGGTAGATGGCTGCGACGCAGCGGCGGAGGACTTCGTTCGTGTCTACATCGAAGAATTGCGAGTAGTAGTGGATTGACCACCAGTTGAGCTTGGAGGGGGTACCGCCGGGGGATCGGTCACGGCCGCGCGATGAACCGCCGCCGAGGAAGGGGGCAGAGTCTTGTTGGGCTTTGGCGTTGCGTTGGTCGTTTTCGAAGTCTGAGAAGGGGAGGTAAGTAGGTGTGCGTTGGGATGAGGTGGTGGTTGTGCTCAAGGCCAGCTAGCTTACTGGAACGGTGGAATTCGAGGTCTTCTTGGAGGTCGGTATGGCCGAGATCGCCCTGGAAATTGATGTTAGTATACTGCGATCGGAGATGCTAACTATTATTGGAGACTTACCTCGGCGTCAACGTCCACTACCACATCATAGCCCTGGTTCGCCATCTTGGGCAGCTCACGTTCGTTTTTAAGGGTGGTTGTTGAGCTCTCGGTTCCTGGGAGATGCGGGAATGCAAGAGTACACCTCAGCGGCTGCCGGGAAAGCCACGCACTAGCCACCATGTGGAGACTGTCCATCTATTCAACACGGGCTGACGCGGGCTGTGTTTCGCATTTTGTGCGTCCGCCTCTACTGTCTATTCTGTGTGCTGAAGCTGTTCTTTGTCTCGTAAAACTAACTTTCTCCTTATTAGCATGTTTTTTAAACATGTCTTTAATATTTGTACATAAAATCCCAAGCCCTATTTCTGAACCGGTGCCTTTTTGTCTTTCCCAATGGTCACATAAGATTAAAGATAGCCTCGGGCCTGCAAAGCCCCATGGAACCTACTGACATACGCCCATATCGTATTGTCAAATCCCCTCTTCTTGATCCAGAACGACATAGCACCAATGAACATTGTCACAGCCACAGAGCCGATGGTCCGTCTGTGATTCCACAAGAAAGCGACGGTCTTCTCCTTCCGCTCTTCCCAACGTAGATGCCGTACTTGTTTCGCGAAGAGGTCGACTGTTTCATCGGGTCCTTGGATCCTGACGAGATCCCTTGAAGATTTCAGCACACTACACTCTGGAATGCGCTTCCAGGCTCCAAATGGTAGACTTTCCGGCGGGTGAGCTTCGAAAAGCTGCATCGCGCGGGATATCAAACCCTCAAGATCCAAAGGGTTTGGAAGCTTGGATAGGGTAAAATGCAGCATATCGGTTTCATCGACTGAAAATTCAAGCAATTCTTTCTTGCGGGAGAGAATGATGGCTGCAAAGAGGTATATGGAGACTACTGGTTCCTGGGCCAGCAGAAAATCGAAAAGACGTGCAATGTCGCTATATTCTTGGATGTCGTGAGAGTACATCGTCAAAGTTGCGGCGAGTGCAAAGAATGGTTTGATTTCGGCGAGGTGACGTCGTAATGCAGGGTCTGCCTTCTCAATGATCGCAGGGATCAGCTCTAGATGTTTCAGCGCTGGCGAAAGTGACGGCAACATGTAATCTCTTATCCGAAGAAGAGATATTTGTGCCACGGCAGCAGCGCTATTTTGTCCACCGAGCACTAGTAGTAGGACTTGAACGATATCATGATAGCCCTGAAAGTAGCAGAGCATGGGAAAGCACCGCAGGACTTGCTTGATCAACTTGGAGAGCTCATCCTTCTTGATAGAGAGCTCCTGGTCAGAGCCTAGTCAAGTTAGACATCACCAATCGCCAAAACAACTGAATGGATGACTTACATTCAGGGTAGTAGACAAATGACCTGTTCACATCAAGCTGAACTTGTTCTTCGTCAATATGTGCAGGTAGACGTTCCCATCCCGTGAAATCGAAATTGGGTCCTCGTCGATCACACTGTAGAAGAATAGGCCCTTATCGAACGTCAGATAATGTATATAACTGGTATAAGGTAGCGCTCACAGGCTGTTCGCCGGACATCATCATTGAGGAAGCCACCTTCTGAGGTAGCGTATGAGACTAATGCATCAATATCACGCAAGTCGCATGCTTGGCGAATTGCCGTTTCTTTTTCGGCTCTGAGATTTTCGAGCTCCGCATTCTTGAGTTTCTCTGCCTCTAGGGCCTCGGCCTCGGCGGCGGTCTTCTGCTCTGTTTCCAGATTTGTCTCCGTGACGTGCTCTGGTTCGTTATTCTCAGATGGCTGATCCATCGTTGAGGCGGGCAGTATACTCCAAAGAAATTGTCTGTGAAAACCTGCGTGTTCCCAATTTTGGCCAAATGAACAACTGGACGATATAATTTTTATTTGTATCCCGATGTATAGCGTTAACAATGAGTGGTCTATACTTGGATGCAACGGATGAACGAGCCTCTTGCCAGGATCAGAGCTTGCGTTTGGGGATCTCAAAATCCGGTTATGAGATCCAGTCCAGCCCTGGCTTCTCCAGATTCACCGACAGGACCGCAATCTAGGCAACAAAATACCTATGGGATAGCATAGGCGATATGCAAAGCCGGAGGTGATTGCGGCCATGGCCAAACCCAAAACGGACGCGTAGCCGCCTCAGGCCACACATCAGGTCTGTGTCCCGTGATCTGTGATTTGCTTGGTTTGATCTGTATCGCCGACCGCCCGAACGAGCAGGCGAGGCTTTGATGATCGATCCACTGCCCCTCCAGACTTCCTACATGGCTGGCTGAGGTCCTCACGAGTCCCGGAGCCGCTGTTGATTGATTCGCAGGCAACTAAAACTGTCTTATTCAAAATAAATTCTGCTGGTTCACAAAGATAGCTGCAGACAATGCTGCAACCTCATAGTGGGCCGATGGCATCATACTAAAACCAAACATATTCAATTGACCTTCCCGCGAACCGCTGGGTTCCACTGCCGGAAATCGTGTTTAATACGACATACTACTTCCCCGCTGTCTATGTCCCATGAACGCGTTTCGTTGTCAGGCACAAGCTTCTGGACAACCAAAGGGTGTTTGTGTATTTTGAGAAACCATCTCAGTATTTATTGCTCGCACCACCGCAAGCGTTTTCATAAGATATCACTGGAGTGTAAGTCCCAAATCCTTTGTCCTGTGACAAGTCTTCCACAAATTATATTTTGCTAATGCTCCAACTAGGTTTCTGTTTTGCATAGCGGTGTCTAAATCTACAGACGGTATTCCTCTTTGATCTGTACTCGCATGGTAGCACTGCGCTCTGTGTTCCCTTCGCCTCTGGTGTCTCAGCACTTTCCTGTCATGAAATTGCTTTCTCATATTACTCCAAGCATGAAAATTCATGAGCCATATTCTTGAGAGACCTTCCCTCCCATTCTTCTCTAATATTTCAGCGCCACGGAGGTAGGACCCGGTATCCTTCGAAAAGCTGCTGCGGACACCGTTGATCAGCTATTCTACTCTTTCGTTTCGTTTTCCTTTTCTCTTTCCGCGCCTCTCTTTCTACTCATTTCGTGTCCTCTAGCCATCCTTTCGTTTGGCAAGGGACCACTCTCTGTGGTTTTACGGGCCCTCTTTTTCACAGTCAATCAGAGAAGCTATCATGGCTACATCAGGAAGCGGTGCAGCATTAGCCGCAAACAATTCAGCGACCGTTGCAGGTGGAGGTGGGGATTCGATGGAAATCGAGACAGAAAGCATACATTCTGCATCCCAGGCAAAAATCGGACTATTGTCGCATACTCTAGTATCAAGTCCTATTATTCAATGGATTCTCCCTGCGCATCTCAGAAGCAAAGACCAAAACGATGTCGTCTTCGTGGGTGAGCGCCATTTGCAAATCAAAGAAGCAGTATCTGGGGTTCATCTGGAGGAGGTCACTACCAAAAATGACTTTGACTCGTGTATCATGGCAGCAAAAGTCATTAATGTCAGCACCGAATTGCCTTGGGAAGAGGAGATGAAGCTCGCGGCGAGCAATTCGACACTGCGCGCGAGCTCGGACTTGCGCCAGGATCTTCCTCCACAAATATTGGTTCTTAGCCTTGCTTCGAAAGAGCTAGTATTTTTGTACTTTTCGAACGCGAGTGGCCAATTTGTCTACCATCGTCGGCCGCTGCCGAACGATGTCAGTGCTTTTGAACGATTCGGCCGGAATATTGCTGTGGAACCAAGGTATGCCTCTTGAGGAACCTTTCCATGATGATCATAGGCTGAGAGTTGTTGCAGGTCTCGTGCGGTAGCAGTTAGTGCTTCAAGTGACTATTTTGGGATCTTCGTCTTGAAGAGGCCGCCGGTCATCCAAGCACAGATGACCCAAAACAGACTTGACCCTATAGCAGAGGTATGTTCTGGTTACTTCTAGATACTGAATGCGACTAACCTGTGTGGTCACTTATGTAGGAGCGCTTCTTCCGCGTTGAAGGCGATATAATTGCCATGGAATTTCTGTATCCCAAATCTGAAGACGGGGACAAGATCACTTTACTACTATTGATTGCTCAAGATCAGTTGACACAAGCTGTTTGCTACGAATGGGACGCGAACGAGTCTTTACGCCAGGCTACCCCACGGGTGACCAAAAAAGTATTGCCGCTGGAGGATAGGCTTCCCACTATGTTGATTCCCTTGACTAAGACTTCTTCATTCATGCTCGTCACGACGACGTCGATAACGGTATACCAAAATAAGCTTGACCCTCAGAGACTCCCCAGCAGATACCCGCTCCCTGTCTATGAGAAAGAATCTCAAAAGTCACCTCTCTGGACCAGATGGGCAAGGCCATTGCGCAATTGGCTATACAATCAGAAACATGATGACATTTACCTCTGTCGCGAAGACGGTGAAATAACATACTTAGGAATTGGCACTGACGGCGAGCTCGAGAATCAGGCACATTTAGGCCAGCTGTGCTGTGACGTTGATGCAGCATTTGACATTCTGGATATTGGCTACGAAGGTGGTGACCTACTTCTTGCAGCGGGCACCACCGGTGATGGAGGGCTATTTGTCCAGAAGGCTCGCGACCATCCGCGGTGTGTGCAGAAGTTTATGAACTGGACCCCTGTCACCGACTCTGTTGTTGTGAAAAGTGAGGACACGGTGCCCTCAGATATTGCAACTGATCGCCTTTTTGTTTGCTCTGCTTCTTCGTTCTCACGAGGTGCAGTAGTTGAGTTGCGGCACGGAGTTGAAGCACAAATCGGGCTCATTGTTGCGCTGGAGGAGTTGTCTGGAACCAGAGATATATGGACCATGCCAGACGGCACGACCGGAGGTGTTTTTGTTCTAACATCTGACCCTATGTCCTCACTTTTATTGTACTTGCCTGCTGACTTCGGGGAAGAACTTTGTGCTATCGATGAGGCAGAGTCCGGGCTTGACTCTAGCACACAGACCTTGGCAGCAGGATGCACTGTATTGGGAGCTATCTTACAAGTGACAGACAAGACAATTTGCGTTGGCACAACCCCAGAGATGCCGGGCTATCGCTTTGAGGTCGATCCTGGCCAGACTATTGCGGTAGCTGCGGTTGATGGACCGGC